GGCAGAGTAAACGACCACGGAGACCAGATGGGCCAGTCCACACAGGAAGAGTCAGCTGGAGGCTCCCACAGGGGAGGCCAGGACACTGGGCGGGCTAGGGAAGAGCAGGGGCTGCTCTGGAGGCGGAGGGGGCAGAGGGAGGGCAGAGAGGGTCCTCTGAAGGAAGAGGTGGGACCAGTGCGGGTGGGGCTAGCTGGACGAGCCTCTTCCCCTCGGGCATACAGTGCCCCCAGTGCAGCGAAATCACAGCATCAACTGTGCTCGCTTCACACCCACCTCTACTATGGACAGAAAAGTCTCCCACTGAAGCAGCAAACTCCAAAGCAAAGATGCTAAACATAACTATAAATATTTTCTCCAAATCCTTCCAAATGTTGGCAAGTCTGAAAACTGAGTCATTCGTTTTGAGTACTTTGTTAAAACTTCACCCCAAAACTCCTACAGGAGGGATGTTTTACCAGAGAAGAGAAAGGGACACAGAAATTGAGAAACCGCTGCTAATTTCAGAAGATCCCTGTGACTTCACTTCTCTGTGCCCTTTAGCATCTGTTACCGCTTCAGCTGCACACATCCTACCTGTAGACCAGGATGTGCATGCCCAAGAAGAAATAAAACAAACTAGAAAGAGGTCGAGGACTTCCCTGGCGGCGCAGTGGTGAAGAATCCACCTGCCAATACAGCAGACACGGGTTCGAGCCCTGGTCCGGGAAGATCCCACATGCCGCAGAGCAACTAAGCCCATGCGCCACAACTACTGAAGCCCGCGCTCCTCAACAAGAGAAGCCACCGCAATGAGAAACCTGCGCACTGCAACGAAGAGTAGCCCCCCACTCGCCGCAACTAGAGAAAGCCCGTGCATAGCGACGAAGACCTGAAGCAGCCAAAAACAATTAATAAATAAATTTTAAAAAAAAGAAGTCGATTATGATCAAAACATGGAAACCCCATTTACATTCTGATACTTGAATTCAACCAAACTGTCCTGATTTTCTAAATCTTTTTTTTAAAATAAATTTATTTACTTTTGGCTGCGTCGGGTCTTCGTTGCTTCACATGGGCTTTCTCTAGTTGCGGCTAGCAGGAGCTACTCTTTGTTGTGGTGCGTGGGCTTCCCATTGCGGTGGCTTCCCTTGTTGCAGAGCACGGGCTCTAGGCGTGCAGGCTTCAGTAGTTGTGGCACACGGGCTCAGCAGTTGTGGCTGGCGGGTTCTAGAGCACAGGCTCAGTAGTTGTGACACACGGGCTTAGTTGCTCCGCGGCATGTGGGATCTTCCCGGACCAGGGCTCGAGCCCGTGTCCCCTGCATTGGCAGGCGGATTCTTAACCACTGCGCCACCAGGGAAGCCCCTTTCTAAATCTTTTAACAAGGCCTCAACCCACCCCACTCTCACCCCGCCACTGAACTAGTCTTCTCAGGACCCTCTGCAACTTTAAGGTTAATTTGAAATTCAATTTAAAGGTAGGCTTTGTCCTAAAACACTGAGTGTGAGGCCACCGAGCATGTGACACGCTGCCTGGACACAGCGTTCCATCGCAGCTCCAGCAGACAGTGGCTGGCCCAGGCCTTGGTCCTCAGCAGGGCTTGGAAAAGTGCAGCAAAGGGCCTGTGCAAATGTAAGGCCTGTTTTTTGTCCCCACAGGAACCAACTCTCTATCTACAAATTCCACGGCCAAGTGCATTTCTTCTACAGCGCACTGAAGCTACTGAATAAGAAAATGTGGTCTCATTTACTGGAACTACCTGAAATAGTTAATGTTTAACAGCCTATTTAGCAATCACTACTTTATTCAAAGCACAGCTTTGAGGCCCTTTCATGTGAATTTGTTCTATTTTGGCCATTTTCCTGGGCAAAGCTGTAGATCACCACAGTCAATAGAGTACTGCAAGTAAAGCTTTCTTCCCCCAGTTTTAGCTTTGCTTCCTAGAGGTTATTCTAGAATCTAAATGTTGAAAGGAAGAGGAATTCGCAGTTTCATGCAGTCCTTGATGTGACACCAAAAGCATAAACAACTAAAGGAAAATGTAGATAAAATGGACTTCATCAAAATAAAAAACTTTTGTGCATCAAAGGACACCATAAAGAAAGTGAAAAGACAATCCAGAGAATGGGAGAAAACATTTGTAAATCATAATTCTTAAAAGGGTCTAGTATCCAGAATATATAAAGAAGTCTTACAACTCAATGATAAAAAGACAATCCAATTACAAAATGAGCAAAGTATGTGAATATTTTAGTTCTCCAAATAAGATATACAAATGACCAGTAAGCACATGCAAAGATGGTCATTAGGGAAATGCAAATCAAAATCACAAGGACATGGGGATGTAATGTACAGTATGGTGACTATAGTTAATACTGTATTGCATATTTGAAAGCTGCTAAGAGAGTAGATCGTCCAAGTTCTCATCACAGGAAAAAAAAATTCGTAACTACGACAGATGTTTACTAGACTTATTGTGGTGATTATTTTGCAAGATATACAAATACTGAATCATTATGTTGTACATGTGAAACTAATACAATGCCATACGTCAATTATATCTAAATTTTTAAAAACCCTATTGAGGGACTTCCCTGGCGGTCCAATGGTTAAGAATTCTCCTTCCAATGCAGTGGACGCGGGTTCGAGCCCTGGTCAGGGACCTAAGATCCCACATCCCTTGTGGCCAAAAAACCAAAACATAAAACAGAAGCAGTATTGTAACAAATTCAATAAAGACTTCAAAAATGGTCCACATCAAAAAAATCTTAAAAAAACAAACAAACCATAAAAACCAAATGAATTGTAACAAAAAGTGCCAAGTTGGATCAGATCAGCTTTCCTTTCTCTACAGGTCTGTTCTAATACAAATCAGAACATTCAGTAACCCACACAATATAAAAATTAATTTTTCCTGTTTCAATAAACTTTTTTACCCTGTTTTTTAAAAGAAGCCCACAATGAGATACTATTTTACAACTATTAAGGTGGCTAGAATTTAAAAACTGGGCAAGAGAAATTTTGCAGTGAGGATGTAGAGAAATTGGAATCCTCATACATTGCTGGTAGAATGTAGAATGGTGCAGCCACTGTGGCAAACAGTGTCTGGCGGTTCCTTAAGAAGTTAAACATACGATCACCACATGACCCCACAATTCCACTTAAAGTTATACACCCAGCAGAATTGAAAACGCATGTCCACATAGTCTTGTACACGAATGTTCACAGCAGCATTTTTCATAGTAGCCAAAAGGTAGGAACAACCCAAATGTCAATCAACTGATGAATGGATAAGCAAAATGTGGTCTATGCATGCAATGGAATATTATTGAGTCATAAAAAGGAATAAAGTACTGACACACGTTACAACATGGATGAACTTTGAAAACATGAAGCCAAGTGAAAGATGGCGGATGAAAAGGCCACATATTATATGATTCCATTTATATGAAAAAGGAAAATCCAGAATAGGCAAGTGCACAGAAACACAAAGTAGATTAGTGGCTGCCAGGGGCTGAGGAGACAGGGGTTCCGGAAGAAAAGGGAGTGTCTACCAATGGGTAGGGGCTTCTTTTCGGGGTGGTGAAGAAGTTCTAGAATTGGATAGCAGTGACGGTTGCACAACTTTTTGAATACACTAAAAACCACTGAGTTGTATTGCTGTAAAATGGTGAATTACAACTCTTTAAGAAATAACATAAAGCCGTCCGAGGTTGACAGCGCCATACCACGGGAGCAGGCAACAAGAGGGTGCCTCGTCTGAGGGGGCTTCACATGAGCAATGAAACCAGCTAGAGGTCGGCTTGCCTTCACCCTCGCTGCGCACCAGCAGAGCCCACAGTGCCCGCGACAACGCCTGCCCCCGTCGCCTGACCGTGGCTGTCAGCGCACCGCCGTTTGCAGACGAATGCGGAGCGGGCGTCTGCACAGCGCTTTCTAACTCACAGACGCGACTCTACTCGCTCTTCGCAGGACCCTGTGAGGAGGAGGATCCACGTGCAGCCAGCCTCCCCGTGGCCATGAGCGCTGACCAGTGACCTCAAAGAACTCGGGACCGGACTCCTGCCCAACTGTAGGGTCTCCCAGCACAGGCCCCATGTCCCGTGGGCAGGACTGGTGGTCCTCATGACCAGCCCTGCACCCTGACCTCAGCTGCCCCATCCCTGAGGGTTCATGATGCCCAAAATGTAGACAGTCATGAACACAGGCATTCACCCAAACACCTGATTTCCTTCTTGTCCCCGCTGAGCACTTTTTGTTCAAGGACTAACCACTCCTGCCACACTGCCACCTCTGCATATGGTAACTTCATTTTTTTCCCCAACAAAGTCACAAAGTGGGGACTAGCAACAGTTAGAGCAAATAACTCTCACTAAATCACAGCCCCCGATTTATAAATTTTAGCAGAAATATATTTAACATAGCAACCAGGCCCATCAGGTATTTAAGGGTAACTAAATAGTACACTAAAATCACACTCCCGCTTCTGATTCGAGTGGTGGAACAGTCAAAAGAAAAGGAAAAACATTTAGGATACATGGTAAACTGAAATATGGCCGGGGTTGGGGGAGGGGACGGGGCGCACGAGGAGAAGAATTTCTTCAACAAACCAGGAAAGGCACTCACAAAATAATAATACATTATCTCTATGACAAGGTTTTAAAATGACTTTTACTTTCTTCTCTATACTTTTGGATATTGTTTGATGTTTTCAAAAATAATGTTCATTCTGTAAAAAGTTAGAAACGAAACACTTTGAGAAAGAAAAAAAGCAGCATTGGCTCAGATAATTGTTAATCTGTTCAGCCCTAAACTTCACAAATATCAAATTCCGGGTGTGGGATGCCAGTGAATGAGCGTGTGTTGACCTGGGGCACACCTTAGTCCCCAGGCTCCCTGACACGCCCCTCCTCCCCCAGTTGCTGGGAGGCCACCCTAGCAGGCACGGTCCTCTCCCCAACACCAGCACCCGAGCAGCTTACTGACGAGCAAGTTGGTATCAGTTAACTTTTGCTTACCTGGACAGGCGGTTCAATCGTTATCCAGGCTGGAAGCATCAGACTGGGATTCAGAGGCTGGGTACCCACGCGGAAGTAAACTCCACCCCTGGAATCACAGGCCCAGACGTGCTGATTTCCACATGCCAGGCTCATCAGTTTTACAGCTCCTATAGACAAACAGAGAAAAAGTACACACGTTAATTACTCTTGTAAGATGACTCACGTTTCATTTAATCTATGAACTTTGATTTTATACTTCAAAGAAAGAGATGATGCTGCCTTTGCAGGTGAACTCTGTTGCTTGAGAACATTACAGTGCACGGGAGTCACCAACGCCTCTGGCTGCCCCGGCACCTGCCCCGCGCCACAGAGCAGCCCTTGCACACCACGGGCAAAATAATCAAGATGCCATCCGGACAGTGCCCTGAGCCACCAAGCCCGGCAATTAATATCTCAGTGTGGGCCCCGTCATTAGCTTCATCAGATATGTGACTATTACCAGCAAATTCTGGATCTGGGGCAAGGGAATTCATCTTTCAGGTAATCTTTTTTTTTTTGGGCTGCGTAGGATCTTAGTGGCAACACGCGGTATCTTCATTGTGGTGCGTGGGCTTCTCTCTAGTTGCAGCGTGTGGGTTTTCTCTTTGGCTGTGGCGTGCAGGCTCCAGGGCACGAGGGGTCTCTCGCTGAGGCGCGAGAGATCAATAGTTGTGGCACGCGGGCTTAGTTGCCCCGCGGCATGTGGGATCTTAGTTCCCCAACCAGGGATCAAACCCGTGTCCCCTGCAGTGGCAGGCGGATTCTTTACCCCTGGACCACCAGGGAAGTCCCTCTTTCAGGTAATCTTGATCCTAATTAGAATTAAAATTAACTAACTAAGCCTCCCAGGATCTTCATTTTTTCTTTTTACATTTCTCCTTGTTTATTAAACCAATTTTAAGAGGAAAGGAAATGGGAGGAGTCTTCAAAGAGAAACTTGATTAATAGTTTATCTGGCAGAAAGAGCAACAGCCCATAGTTACTGACCTGCGCGACAGTGATGCACGGCTCTTGCCGCCCCAGCTCATGTGTGAGGCCGTCAGGACGCAGACCCCGGAAAAGAACGTGGAGAAGCCGGGAGGCAAAGGGCAGGCCGCAGCTTGAACCCAGGCCTGCCTGACCCTCCCCGCCAGCCACCTCTGACCTCCAGGGCCCCACATCCCGTGAACACACAGATCTTACACGGTCAGTTCCCTCGCTTTTGACAGATGAACATGCCTGGGTAACCCATGGCTTATCAAGTTATGGAATGTTTTCATTGCCCCAGAAAGTTCCCTCAAGCCCCTTCCTCAAGAAAGTTCTGCCCCTCTGCCCCAAGGCAGCCACTCTTCTGCCTTCTATCGCCATGTATCTGTTCAGTCTGGTCTAGATGACTGTAGAAACAGAATCACAGGTACGCACTCCCTGGGCCTGGCTTCTTTCACTCAGCGTGATGTTCTGTTCATGACATTCATCCAGTCACTCCTTTTTACTGCTGAGTATGAGTCCACTGCATGTAAACGCCACAGTTACTGGTGTATCCTGCTGATGGGCATTTGGGCCATTTCCACTTTTTGCTATTAGGAGTAAAGCCGCTATCATCATTCCTGCAGAAGACTTTTTTTTGTGAACATGTGTTGTTTTTCTTGAATAACACCTAAGAGTGGAGCTCTGGGCTATAGGTAGATATCTGTTTAACGTGGAAAGAGACCACCAGCCTTCCCATTTTACACGCCCACCAGCGGTGTGTGCTGGTGGCTCACACCCTCACCAGCATCCACTTATGGCACCTCTGTCAGCCATTCTAGCAGGTGTAAAGTGGCATCATGGTTTTATTTGCATTTCCCTGGTAACTAGTGATGCTGAGAATCTTTTAATGTGCTTATGGAGGGCATCTGTATACCTTCTTTTGTGAAGCATCTGTCAAGTCTTTTGCCTGTTTTTTCAAGGTGAACGGTTTGTCTTCTGATGACTAAGTTAGAGGATGACTCATTTTGACTGTAAAGCAGGGGAAAAAGGCGGTGCGGCTACATTCACTGGCAGTGCTGCTCTTGGCCACCTCACACAGTTGTCACCGGTATCAGATGACAGCCCATGTGTCTACACCAAAACGTACAGGCACGGATCCTGCTATGGGGCAATCTCGTCACATGTGTTTAGCTTAAAAGTATCAACCCACTACTACTGAAAAAATTCTTAGTATCCCTTTGTACATTTCCTGAAGATGATGATTTCTCTTATACTGAAATTAGCTGTATTTTTAAAATCTTTTATAGAATGTCTTACCGGGGAGTTAAAATAGACATCCTAGAGCTCTAACATTACCCATGAAAAGATTTGTAGCGATCCAAATAAAGGACTTTCAGCAGTAAATTCCAGAAACGGCCGAGAAACAAATTCTAATTTTAAAATGCTAATTAAAAATAATTTTATGTTGGAGTCGTCAACCTGCCCTAACAGGAACTACAGGTGGTAGCTGCTCACGTGAAGAGAGTTACATGGTGACAAAAACACACTGGGTCAGCATCTCAGAATTAGCAGCGAATAACACCACCACCAGTGAAACACGGAGTTCATATTACAAGGCAAGCGTTCTTTTAAAACAAACATAAAAGGTTGCTAGAATATACACTTCAGTGTATAAATCAGCTTATTCTGAATTGAAGAGACAGGTCAAAGAAGAAAACGTTTAATCGAGGGCTTTTCCGTAGTCTCCTACTTCACAGAGGGTCTCCCAGGCTGCCTGGGTGCAGGTGTATGAGGTCAGGGCAGGTGGCAGAGAACACTGGCCCCCCCAGCACCCCTTGGCTCGTCAGTGTCCCTTGGAGTTAAGCGGGGCCCTATCACTGGTTCTGGACGATGGGCTGTGGGCAGAAGGGATCTGTCACTTCTGAACTGAACCCTAAAAGAGCTGGCAAGAGGGCCTTGCCTTTCGGCTGTCTCCTGCCACAGTGACCAGAGGGGCAGAGCCACAGAGCACCGCAGGGGGTCAGTAAGCCACCACCTGGGAACCACTACCACAACCATCAAAAGACTGACAGGTCGAGAGTCAACTTCGCGGGAGCAGAAAGCAACCTTCACTGTGTTACATGGCTGGTATTTGGGACTCGTTACTGTAACAGTATTAGTCTGACTAACACAGACATACTGCGATTTTCCTGTCTTCCCCCTATTTTGTTCTTCCCTCCCATTAAAAAGAAAAGTTTTAATTACTTTATTCAACAGATGAGACATTTTCCCTTTAGGATTACTTTTTAAACATATATTTTAGACAAAAAGTGGCATTTATTTGGTGTTTTACTATTTATAAGACACTTCTCTGCATAAATTACTATATAAGCCTATTTGTTATCTAAAGGCACGAACCGACACTGAGCATTTCTTCATTAAATGCTGTGACCGGATGTATTCAATTACAAATTGCATTAGTTTGCTAAACATTCCAATGCCTGACGTATGCATATTTATGCGTACTGGGAAATCAAACGTTATGAGCATATTAAGTATCTGCTAAATGACACAAATTTTCTTCCAAAAACTAGGATGGTCATAAATCATAAAATTCCATATTCAGTCTCTATAACTGGGTTCAGTAGCTAGACATTTAATTGAAGAATTCTCTTAATCTAAGAAATGGAAATCAAAACTACAATGAGATACCACCTCCCACCAGTCAGAATGGCCATGATTTTTAAAAATCTACAAAAAAACCCCACAAATAACAAATACTGGAAAGGATGTAGAGAAAAGGGAACCCTCCTACACTGCCGGTGGGAATGTAAGTTGGTGCAGCCACTATGGAGAACAGTATGGAGGTTCCTCAGAAAACTAAAAATAGAGCTCATATGATCCAGCAATCCCACTTCTGGGCATATATCTGGACAAAATTATAATTCAAAAAGACACATGCACCTCTATGTTCACAGCAGCACTTTTCACAATAGCCAAGACATGGAAACAACCTAAATGTCCATCGACAGATGAATGGATAAAGAAGATGCGGTACATATATATAATGGACTACTACCCAGCCATAAAAAGACAAAATAATGCCATTTGCAGCAACATGGATGCAACTAGAGATTATCATACTAAGTGAAGTTAGAAAGAGAAAGACAAATACCATATGATATCACTTATACGTGGAATCTAAAATATGACACAAATGAACCTATCTATGAAATAGAAACAGAATCACGGACGTAGAGAACAGATGGATGGAGTGGGAGGTTGGGCTAGCAGATGTAAACTATTATATATAGACTGGATGGACAACAAGGTCCTACTGGATAGCACAGAGAACGATATTCAATATCCTGTGATAAACCGTAATGGAAAAGAATATTTAAAAGAAGAACGTAGGGCTTCCCTGGTGGTGCAGTGCTTAAGAATCCACCTGCCAATGCAGGGGACACAGGTTCGAGCCCCGTGTCCATCATCAAAAAGCAACAAGGGACTTCCCTGGTGGTCCAGTGGCTAAGACTCCGAGCTCCCAATGCTGGGGGCCCAGGTTCGATCCTGGTCAGGGAACTAGATCCCACAAGCATTGCACCAACTAAAGATCCTGCATGCCACAACGAAGGTCCCACACGTGGCAACAAAGATCCTGCATGCTCCAACTAAAACCTGGTGCAGCCAAAAAAAAAAAGATTTAAAAAGACAACAAATAACAAGTGTTGACAAGAATGTGGAGGAAAGGGAACCCTGCTGGTAGGAATGTAAACTGGTACAGCCACTACGGAAAACATTATGGAGGCTCCTCAAAAAATTAAAAATAGGACTATCATCTGATCCAGCAATTCCACTCTTGGGTATTCATCTGAAAAAAACGAAAACACTAATTTGGAAAGATACATGCCCCCCAGCATGCTGTTCACTGCAGCATTATTTACAACAGGCAAGATATGCAAGAAACACAAGTATCCATCAACAAATGAATGGATAAAGAAAATGTGGGGTGTATGTGTGTGTGTGTGTACACACACACACAATGGAATATTACTCAGCCTTAAAAAAGAATGAAATCCTGCCATCTGCAACAATGTGGATTGATCTGAAGAGTGTTACACCTAGTGAAATGTCAGACAGAGAAAGACAAATACTGTATGTTTCACTTATATGTGGAATCTAAAAAACCAAAATAAATGAACAAATACAACAAAACAGAAATAGACTCACAGATTCAGAAAACAAACTAGTGGTTACCAGAGGGGAGTAGGAGGGGGGGAGGGGCAAAACAGATGAAGGGGATTAAGGGATACAAACTACCATTTAAAAAGCAAATATAAGGACTTCCCTGGTGGCGCAGTGGTTAAGAACCCACCTGCCAATGCAGGGGCCATGGATTCGAGCCCCAGTCCAGGAAGATCCCACATGCTGCGGAGCAACTAAGCCTGTGTGCCACAACTACTGAGCCTGTGCTCTAGAGCCCGCAAGCCACAACTACTGAGCCCGTGTGCCACAACTACTGAAGCCCACACGCCACAACTACTGAAGCCTGCACGCCTAGAGCTCATGCTTCGCAACAAGAGAAGCCACCGCAATGAGAAGCCCACACACCGCAATGAAGAGTAGCCCCTGCTCATCGCAACTAGAGAGAGCCCGCGCACAGCAACGAAGACCCAACGCAGCCAAAAATGAATAAATAGATTTATAAAATTCTTTTTTAATTTAAATAAAATAAAATAAAAAGCAAATTAATTACAAAGATGTAACATACAGCACAGGGAATATAAACAATAATAATAACTTTGTATGGTGTGTAATCTATAAAAATATCAAATCACTATATTGTACACCTGAAGCTAATATAATATTGTATGTCAACTATACTTCCAAAAAAAAAAAGTGCATCTGGGAAAGAGAAGTTTGCTACTGCACAGAACCCTCACATGTAGAACCACAGTCTTGAAAAGGCTGTGCTTCCTTTCACTGCTGTGAGCACCACCATGGCCAACTTTTAAAAGAACAATGCAGCACCCCAGGTAACCCCAGGCAAGTAAGCAAGGCAGCATTAACGTTACCTGCGTTACTACACTCTGTTCACTACTCCCCAGTGAGTGCTGCCAGATGACAGCCTGCCATGGACACTGGCAGGGAGCACACACCTGAACTCAAAATCTGCATCCCCTAATATAAATAATACTTTTTTAAGAAACCTTGATTCACCGGTTTGTCCCACAGGCTACACAGACCATCCCTGGAAAGAGCCAAACAACAGAGTAGCTGGTGGCCCTGACCTGCCTTCCGCCGCCCCCCCACCCTGGCACGTGGAAGGCCAGCACCCCTCCTGCTGTTCCCTGCACGCCTCCCCGGCCTACCAACTCTGGACTTGCTTCGTTCTCCCAGGACGTTCAGAATATCGTAAAAGAAGTCTTTATCCATCCTCTCAGCAACGGCCAGTAACCCGGATAAACAAAATCCAGAGCTCAGGGCAGGAAAAAGACTAAGCGAGGCAGAGCTTCCTGGACTCGGCCCCCGTCATGCACGGCGCCAGACCCGAGCGAGCACCACCCCTCCCCCAGCAGCTTGAGGAGCTGGGCAGCTTTCAGGCCGTCACACCTGCCTGAGACAGGTTCCGTTTGCACATGATGCTTACTTGCATCACCTCTCTGGGGCGGGGATTGCCGTTACCATCAGAAAGGTGAGGACTGATGTTTCAAGGTAACCTGGCTAGCACTGCTCCCGCTGCCGCCCTGCCTCTGCCAGGAGCCCCAGTGAGGTGGTGAGGGCCCAACCACCTCACCTGCGGTCTGTGTGAGCCACTCCAGGCCTGGCTGGACTGCGGACGATTCTGCAGGCAAGAGGCAGGGCAGCTCTGTGAAAGCCTGCCTTTCTCGGCTCCTGCAGTCCTGCCCCCAGCACGCAGGGGAAGCCAAAGCACAACCTGGACTCAGGGTGGCCCTGCCTGGCCCTTCCCACTCTGAAAGGGAGACTCAATCCCACCGAAGCCCAGTCACTCCCCTTGAAAGAACGGCCACCGACCCCAGGGAAACCCAGCCAGCCGCCTCAGAGGCCTGTAACACTCTGGCTAGCGCACCAGCGCGCCAGCGCGGGAGGACTGGACTGAACGGAAGGGAGGCGTGAGCTGTGCGCCGGAGCCCGGAGGCCAAGCCGCGCTCGAGGCCGTTCTCTCGGCACGTGCTGCAGCACAGAGGCCTCCTCTGGGCGGTGGTACCGGGCAGAGCTCTGCTTCTGCCCCAGAGGGGGCAAGGGCAGGGCCCCCAGCGCTCCTAGGATCCTGTAGCAAGGAGGACACCAACCTCGCCCTGGCCTTTTTACCTCCAGAAACTCCCAAACTGCTCTGCTTGGGGGCCAAAGGAGGATGGCTCAGGCCCACAGGATCTCTGAACCAAGGAAAGGCTCCCCGGGGCAGGCGGGAAGACGGCCCCGCACTGGCAGGCAGAGCCATGGCCAGCTGCAGCCTCTCTGGTCCATCACCGTTGACGATGGTGGCTGGCAGGCACTCTCAGAAGCTGGACTGTGACCGGCCTTGGGGCTGGGATTAGGTTCAAAACACGGTGCGAGTGAGGCCAAAAGCATGATCAAAATGACCCTGGAAAATTCCTAGCTTTGGAACAAAGCTTACTTCTTTAGTGGAGAACCAACCTGCTTCTTTAGCTAAGCTGGGTTGTATTTGGGGGCCTTGGGGGACAAAAGAATGACGATACCTCTGCACGTCATGGGATGGTGAGAGGCCGTCAGCTGGAGACGCAGCCGGGGGCTGCCAGGGCGGGAGGTGGACAAGGCGTCCTCCCTTCCCTTCTGCCTTCTTTGTCCTTTTTTTTTCAAACGAGTACATGTGGTTGAATTTTCAAATGTTAACTGCTTGTAAAATTCAATTCTACCACCTAACAAACAAAACACTGGTTATCAGTTCACCAGAACGGGAAACTACTGGGCATGGAAGTATTCCTAAGGCTCACATGGACTCCGGAGCTGCCTGGCGCAGCCTGCACCTTCTGACAGCCACACCTGCCCATCTGCCCAGAGGATAACCTAAGGGCGTGGGCTCATTCCATCATCGTATTCCTTGGAACAGGAATGAATTATTTATAAATGGCCTCATGCTGCTTGGCTGCCCTGCAGCCCTGTAGGGGAGACTCAGGGAAGGGCGGCAGCGGGAGGCGGCACACACCCCTCCAGCAGAGGGAGAACTGGGCCCTCTCCAGGCTGCGGGTCGCGGACCCTGCGTCGGAAAGGGCACAAAGCAACTGCCACATTCAGACAGACCAGCAGAGGCAGCTGCATCCACAGTATCATCTCGAGCGTGTCTTACAGCAGCCTTCTCTGAGTTCATGCTCCTCCTGGGTTCTGAAAACCCTGTGACGCGTAAAGCGTGGGAAAGAAAAGCTCCTCACAAGATTCTTAAGAGGCCCATTACGCTGCAAGAGCGGCTAGTCGACCTCCTGAAATCCAGCAACCGACCAAGCAGCCTACAAGAATTCACGAGGGTTGGACACAGGGCCCCGGGAAGCAGGTGAGACACCCCTCCTGATGAGGCCGGAAGGCAGGGCCCGGCGGCGGGGGTGGGCATACCTAGCTGCGAGAGGTCCAGCCTCGTCCAGTGCATGCCCGTGGGGCAGCTCGCGGACAGCGTCCGGATGAACACCTGGCCGAGGCTGTCCAGGGCCCACAGGGCGTCTTGGCAGGCGGCGTAGGCCCTCATCTCAGCGTCGGGGGGCAGCTGCACGGTGGACGGGCGTGACTGGGCGTGCTGGGCGCTGACGCGGCACAGGTCCTTGCTGCTCTGGCAGAGCCACAGGGAGCTTCCTACGGAGAGGGCATGGCGTCACCGGCGAGCCTCTCGGGGCAGCCTTTGCCTTCAGAGGCTGGCTGCCCAGCTCCCACCCTCACTCCCCACCTCGGGGAAGGAGCAGCCAGGACTCAGGGGGACACACCGGGACCAGCCAGTTCGTAGGAAACAAGTCCGACACATTTAAAGAAATGAAAGGAAGCTGGGCTAACGAGACCTTAGGAGGCCCACAACGTTGCCTCAGAGGCCCGGACCTTGGACGTTGTATAATGGACTGGGAAGCGTTCAACTTGGTGTGCTAACTAGTGTCCTAGAGGGAGCAAGGTCAGCAATGCCTCAGAAGGACAGCACCGATGACCCTCCCCTGTCCTGGGGGCAGGATGAGGGGAGGTCTGGCAGGGTGGAGGCTGCTGGAAAAGGCCCGGAAAGCTGGAAAGCCTTTTCCTCCCATCCTCACCTCAAAATTGCATGCTTTCATTCTCTCCCCCGTTTTTAGAGTCCTTCAGGTTTAATTCACTTTAAAATGCAAACCACACTTGGGGAAATTAAAACCTCAGTCAGAATATATTATCTAAAGTATATCGAAAACTTGGGACCAGTTATGGTCTGGAATTCAAAATTACCCTGGACCTTGAAAACATAAGGTAATGGGTATGCCATACGTTTACGAAACAGCCTGGGAGCCAGGCAATACCCGCCCCCCACCTGCCCCCGCAAGAAGTGCAGCAACGTTCCTGCAACAAAACACGTCACAGTCGCAGTCAGCAGGACAGATGGAGGCAATAAGGAGCCTCCCATCAGCTCAGGTCAGGTTTTGCTGCCGAATGATTTGTGCCAAGCTTGGGAAAGAACCTATGGTTTGCAGAGCTTACTTATTGCACAACTGCGGTCAGAACGATCTGGGGAGGAAGCATTTTATTGTACTGACCAAGTTCTGCACATCCTAGTGGGACTACGAGCTCGAACTCACCAACTGCAGAGACCCCCGACATCTTCTCATCTGACTCTCAGCGTGATCCTGGGAGGCGGCTTCGGCCTCCGCTGGGGCCGCCTGACTGCCCCAGCTCTCATCTCCTGGGGTAGCTGCACTGCCTCTCCTGGCTCCAAACCCCGAGCTGTGGTCAGGGCTTTGGGAGGTCTGCCCTACCAGGGGCATGACAGTGGGACTTAGGCCAGCCAGAGGCTGTAAACCAGCCTGTGAGGAGGTGACAGAATTCACAGGGGAAATGGCCAGGCACCCAGAGAAGCCTGGTGCCTACTGGCCCTGTGCTATGGCCCTGAGACATGTCACTGAAGTCAGCAGCTGCTGGCCTCAGAGGTCACACCGTACACTCCCCTCCTTCGGAAGGACAGCTCGCCTCCAGACCCACTCAGATCACCACACCAGACCCTTCTCTCCTGGGCAGGCCTATCCAGCTTCGGGGGCCCTCAGCTCAGCCAACGAGGGCTGCTGGCCTGTGACACCACCGCATCCAGTCCCTGAGGGCCCCACGGCCATGCTCCCGCCCCAACTAGGCCATGTCAGACCACAGTTTTAACTGTTCAGCTGCCAACCTGTGCACTGCACTCCCCAACCAACCTTCCTTTGTGGGAGCAGTGGAAGCCAACACAAAGGCCCACTTTGTGGCAGAAGCTGTCCCCCGGGGAACAACATTATTCCAGTAAGTGCCTAGAAAGAATAATGGGAAGAGTACGTTAAAGAAAGAAGAAAGAAAAACCATACATACTTCAGAACTTTAGTTCTAGACCAACTGGTCTTCAAAACCCCTTACAGCTGGTTCTAGACTGTCCTCAAAGTAGGAGACCCAAGCCAGCACTGCAAGAGCCAGCCCGACAAGCAGAGCACCATCTAGCCCAGGGTCGGGGGAGGCCACGCAGGGGGAGAAGAGCTGGAGAAAATTCACAAAGCAGGGTTCACTCACAGAAATGAAGCCCCAGTGGGTAAATGTGGATTTACACCTACGTTTACAGATCTGGCCAGAGCCTTCCATTTTCAACAGTGTGGTCATTTTTTCTACTAGGCTCTTTAGGAATGGGAGGATTTTTTCATTTAGCTGGAAATTATTAACATAAAAATGAGCTCCATGTGCTCTTCTTGTAGCCTAATCGGTTCCTAATGGAAACTGATCGCACACCATCCAGACACTGGTATCCAAGTCGTAGGAATGACAGACTAAAAGGAGGGAACTGATAGAAAGCAGAGGGAATGCCTCCATTCCAGACACTTCATACCACTGGCACTAAATTATCTTTTCCACTTGAGCTCATAAGGCTTTTCCTTAAATGCTGCCTCTAAGAGGAGCTGCCTATCAAGCCGGCGTGGAAATGAAGTGATTCACCCACCGATGAGGCTTCCTCTAGAGACGTGGATTTCATTCTTGCCCGAGGAGATCCAGACGCCGCTGCTGTTGACCCCTAGGAGGCTCGGCTGGCACTGGAGCTGCTGAGACCACAACGCCATGCGCAGTTTATCCGCCACCTTCTCCACAGGCACCTGGGCTGCTGTGGCCACCGAGTGTGTGGCGTGGATTATGGTCTGGAACAAGCTGCACTGGTCAAACACCACATAGTCTGTGATGCTCGCCTGCAGGGGAGACGGGCAGACACCCTGTCTCAGCGCAGCTACAAGCGCCTTCTGTATGCTCCCTGCCTGAGAGGTAAGGGCCCGACCCCACCCGTCAAACATCCAGATACCCACGTGCACATTTGTGTGAGGACTGGAGAGGAGTGTGGCAGGACACCCCCCACTGCTGACTGTGATTACTTCCGAGGGGTGGACTCAGAGGGATGTAAGAAAATGTTCACCTTTTATTTTATACACTTTTCTATTACATGGACCTGTTACAAAGAGCATGTATTATTTTTATGATTATCACCCCCTCGCATCCTATAAGTCTTTTATTCTAATCAGTGAGAAACGATTATTTTGTTTTTAAAATTTAGGAATTTCTAATGGACAAGTGTACAATACTTAGGATCATAATACGGGTTTAAAAAGAAGCAATTCATGCCCTAACTGGGCCTGTTACTAATCAGGCCAGAAGGACAGCACAGACAGGAGCTGTCCTGGACGTGCAGAGTGCACCTGGGCTCAGACTCGAGACACGCTTCTCTCACATTCCTGCAAGAGGTCTTTCTCCAGGGTGCCGCCCTCTAAGGAAGCCTCTCCCTTGCCGCCAGCTCCGGCTGTTAGAAAGCTCTGACTCTGCGGGACTTTCCACGCACTTCTGCCCTGCCGGGTTGGGTTACAGAGAACGTCACCGCCCTCCGCCTAGGACAGCCCCGTGCAGGCCACACTCCCAGGTCACGCACAGCGAAGTGCTGAGTGAAAGTGACACCACCTAGGATAGGGAACTTAACATATAATAAACAAAACACACAGAAAGGAAACTATCATAAAACCCAGCACTGTAGTGCATGTGCGATGCGGCCCTTCTTTTCTGTGAAAGGGCTCGCACTGACTGTGAGCTTCTGCCTGCACTGAGGCTTAAGCAAACGGTGTCAGCACGTCAACCCCGCGGCCCTGCTGCGGAGCCCGCGGCCCTGCTTCTCTTGAAGAGCAGAGCACGTGCCAGCCTGGCTAGGCGGACTCCATCAGAGCCCACAGGACGCTGGGCAGGTACCTGGGGACCAGTGCCACGCTGCCGTGTGATGGCCCAGGAGCTCTGCCCTTCCTCGGGGTGTATGATGCCAGGCCACACAGAAAGTCTGTGACAGGCTCAGTCCCAGCACCCAGCATTGGCAGATAAGCAGGATGCAAATTAACAAAAAGAAAAGAAAGGTTTAACAGCCAAACATAATGCTGGCTCTAGCACTACAGAGAAATCAATCTTACAGTAAATAAAATAACTCTGTTTCCAAACACCTCAGAGATGATTCTGTCAAATTTCTCTGAAGACAATGTTCTAAATATTATGATAAAATGATAACTAGTTTTCTTTAGGTTACTTAAAGACAGAATTTAGTACATACGCTACACTTGAGTGTGTGTGTGTGTGTGTGTGTGTGTGTGTATAAAACCATATAATACGGTTACAAATACAGGGAGGATACTTTTGAATCAATTGTATAACTTTTCAAATAGTACCTGGCATATTAAATTAGAGACTGTGTATATACACACATACTCATCAAAGAGCAAACACAACTTACTTTTCCACATCCTCACGTGAAAGACCTGAGAGCGGCCACTGGAAGACCTGCCCTCGATGAGGCAAGTCTAAGGCGACAATAACACCTGAACCAATCAATGGAGACAGAACACTCGAGAGCTGCTGTGTACCCCACAGCCGCCGATGCCAGCACAGCCTTACCTGCCACGCTGGGGAACCACGGGCGCTACGTTTACACTGAATGGTACCAAAAGGGCAAAAGTTAGCTTGATTATACCTTACTACTTCTTTCTTTTTTTTTTAATTTCTTTTTGTTTATTTTATTTATTTATTTTCGGCTGCACTGGGTCTTCGTTGCTGCGCGCGGGCTTTCTCTAGTTGCGGCGAGCAGGGCTATTCTTTTTTTTTTGACAAAGAAAGTAGGGTTTATTGGTGGGCATGGGTAGGGAGGGGGCAGCGCCAAGCCTCTCACGAGTGCAGGGCCCGCCATTTGTCCAGGGGGCCACGATTAGGGATGTACTTGACCCCACAGCCATATGGGATGAGCCACTTTTCTGCCACCATGTTTTCAAATTAATCTGCATTAAACTTAGTAAATCCCCGCTTCTTGGAGATGTGGATCTTCTGGCGGCCAGGGAACTTGAACTTGGCCCTGTGGAGGGCCTCAATCACATGCTCCTTGTTCTGCAGCTTGGTGCGGATGGACATTATGACCTGGCCAATGTGGACCCTGGCCACTGTGCCCTGGGGCTTTCCAAAGGCACCATGCATACCTGTCTGGAGCCTGGATTGGGGACAGCACGCCAGTCATGAATGTCCACTGGAAAGGGCTGTCTCCAGGGTCCCTTAGGGCAGCCCACACAGGCAACAGGCCGCACACACTACCAAGGAGGCTGCTGTTTGCAGCCACTGCGCACCGGGCCCCCATGGGGAAAAGAGCACAGGCGGCTTAACTGGCTGCAAAGGGCTACTCTTGGTTGCGGTGTGCGGGCTTCTCACTGCAGTGGCTTCTCTTGTTGTGGAACACGGGCTCTAGGCATGTGGGCTTCAGCAGTTGTGGGTCGCAGGCTCTAGAGCGCAGGCTCAGTAGTTGTGGCGCATGGGCTTAGCTGTTCGGCGGCATGTGGGATCTTCCCGGACCGGGGCTCGAACCCATGTCCCCTGTATTGGCAGGTGGATTCTTAACCACTGTGCCACCAGGGAAGCCCCTACCTTACTATTTCTCAAAGTGTTTACTTTTCTGGGGGCATGTAGGAAAACTCCCCTTTCTTCGTTGAAATACCATTTACTTACGAGGGCTTTTGTACAAGCAGAGATAGTGAATTTTAATTGTGGGTTGGGTTTTTCACATCTATTGTCTAATCTCTCTTCTTCTTAGTACATTCCTCCAGAATTAATCATTATTATTATCTAGGTCTTCAAATGGCTATCAATGGATTTATTTGGCATATAACGACAAATTTCTAAATAACACCAAAATTAAAAAATAAATAAACAAAGCCTACATATTTAAGCAAAAAGAGCTTCACAAGTTATGTCCTGTGATGAAATTCCTGATAATTCTTTTTTTTTACATTGAAGTATAGTTGATTTACAATGCTGTGTTAGTTACTGCTGTACAGCAAAGTGATTCAGGTATACACATGTATACATTCTTTCTCTTTTAATATTCTTTTCCATTATGGTTCATCATAGGATACTGAATACAGTAGAGCCTTGTTGTGCCCTGATATTTCTAGTGTGCTCAAATACAGCAAAGTCTAACTCATCCAATAGTAAAAGCGAACACCGTTTATTTACTCCAAGCCCCCAATCTCTTTAGGGAAAAGAGAGGGGCTGTAAGAGGGAGAGCAGAGCCCCCGACTCAGGGAGGCACCCAGGCACGTGGCCCGAGAGCTCAACACCTACTTGCCACCAGTGGTCGTCATCCCCTTGGGGCTTCTTGGAAACGACGCCAGTTCTGAACCACAGGTGTCCTCGGACGTCCAAGGCCCACAGGGTCTGTTGGTCCCCAAGAGTGATACAGACAGGTTCCAAAGCCTGCCTTTCACTGGAAACGAGGAAGAGAGCGTGGAGTCAGCACCCGCATTCATGGCCCCCAGCGCGCCTAGGATGCCGGCATCAAGCGTCCTGGGGGGCTCGGTGTGGGACAAGAGACAAGTTCCGAGGAAGGAAGCTTGAGTTTCGAGTTAAACGACTGTGCGATATATACTGTTCCGAAGCAAGGGGGCGTCTGAAGAATTCCTGAAGGCCCAGGACGGTAGGGGGAGCTCTTAAGGGAAACTAACCCAGGGAAGAAGAGAGCAGGCTCATGAGGGATTTCAGGCCCCGAGTGGCCCATCTCCCCACCCCTGCCTTCACCAATTAAGCGAACAGAAACTCCGCAGCGTGCCAGGCTGTGTTGGGCAGCTGCAGCCTGGCAGACGCTGCCCACTCTGCGGGCAACGCCCTCCTCCCACCCAGCCGGTGACGTCCCCACCAGCTTCGAGGCTGAGCTGCGGGTCCACTCTGCACGGTGCCTACCTGACCTCTGCAGGGGGAGCCGAGGCGTCCTCGGTGCTGCTCGTCCCTCTCCAGCTCGGGACCATCTACACTAACTGGCGTTGGTTGCCCCAGATGGGGAGCTCTTCGAGGGCTGGGCAGGGTCACGTTCACTCAGTGCTCACAACAGGTGCTCACTCAAATTTACTGGGTTGCTCAATTCAAACCGAGAATATCCTAATCTAATTTTTCTAAAGACTACTGATAATTTCACACCAGCAAAATGATCTGACAGTAACTCTTTAATTAAAATTTTGACGGGTAGAAAGTAACCAAATAAATTGCAATTCAGAGATTAACTTCAACTGACTAGGAGGATAATAAAGAAAAATATTTGGCCTTAAGTCATCTGAGACTCTAAACAGAAACTATCTGACAATGGGCAGTTCTCTAGAAAGACCATCACGAGAGACTCGTGACCGTGTGGGGCTTGAGATTACACATGAGGGCAGTAACATTTTTAAAACTGAGCTCTGACCCAATGCCCAGTCTGCCAGTCAGAAGGAGGCACAGAGTGTCTTCAAGGTCAGGCTGCTGAAACTGGCTCTGGCAATCCCAGAGAACACCACGACCGTGGAAACCTTCAGGGAACCAGCTCTGCCCAGGAGAGGCTCACATGGGTCCCTTAAGAAGAGTCAAGTTGACAAAGAACAGACAGTGGGACAGACAGGACGCTGAAAATGTGTCTGCTCCTCCCCCGATACCTGACGATGTCACATTTCCAGCGCTCCCCTTCGGGGCAGAAGCTGCTCACACCCTCCCGGTACAGCAGTACCCTCTGCTCCGTCAGCGCCCACACCACGCTGTTTCGGGCTGCGACCTGGGACAGTGGGTATGGACAGTCAACCTTTACGGCTCTGGCACAGGGGCGATCCACGCTGAGACCTGCCGGGGAGAAGGACAGGAAGCCCCCAAAGACACACAGTCAGGACTTCACACCTCATTTTCATTCTGTTTGCTTATTTTTCTTTTTTGGGATTTTGCTATATCCTTTCACAATAAGTACTTTCTCTTTTCAAGGTCTAGTCAACATAAGATAGTTAGATTGTGCTTAAATATAATATCCATCTGAACTGTTTTCAGATGCTCTTTGAAAACTGGAGGAATAACAATTCCGAATCCTCTGGTGTCCCCAAGTAGCTAAAAATGTTCCGAAAGAACGTGAAAGCCCAGTGCAGGAGAGCAGCCAGCTCCGGAGCCAGGAGGGTCCAGGCCCAGAGGAGCCAGTACCAAGGGACGTCTTCTGTGGCCGTGCCCCTCGGAGCCTCAGCTGCCACTGGACCCACAGGGATCTGAGGGCTCCAGGCAACCTCTGCAGAGCACCTCCAACAGGGTGGTTCCCCTCCACCTGCTTTGTACGTGGTACGCGGTGTTTCCACTACTAAAATGAAAACCCCGAAATTCCTAGATGGAAGGTGAGGGCCAGAGCTCAGGGTCCCCGACTCCCCATCCAGGGCTCTTCCCCCGCCTCTTTGCAATCTCTGTCTAATGAGCTTCAAGGCCACTCGTAAGGGAGCTGGCACAACAGCTGTTACCTAAAGCCCCATATTATTCCGCAGCCTCAGCCTGCGGTCAGGGCTCGGAACTCAGCATGCTCCCTGCCCGATCACAACAGCACCCTACGGTATCACAGCCCTTGGGCTGCATTTCCTCAAACTCAGCTAGGTAGGAATCACCTCCTGGACTTCTTACACTGCAAACCTTCAGGACAACCCTGGAGACTCTAAGCCAGTAGCTCTGGGTGGTTTGAGCTTGTCCGCAACCACTGCCCAGGTGACTCCTAAGGCCCTCCTCACCCCCAGGCCAGAAGCACCCTGTTTCCCCCAGCAGGAACGAAACTCAGATGCCACTGGAAGTTGGACATGCGTATGCTTTTCCAGCTATTTTTCACTTTCAAGGGAGACATAGGAACCAGGCTGGAGAGACCAGGGCCGGCATGTGGCCCAGAGCTGGCCAGGCTGCCCTCTGGGCTCAAGCAGGAGCTGCTAGGATGCCGGCTCTCCCACATCTGAGAGCGAGCCAGATGTTCAAGGGCTTTCAATCTCAGAGAATCGAATATTTGCAAACGAAGCAACCGACAAAGGATTAATCTCCAAAATCTACAAGCAGCTCATGCAGCTCAATACCAAAAAAACAAACAACCCAATCCAAAAATGGGCAGAAGACCTAAACAGACATTTCTCCAAAGAAGATATACAGATGGCCAACAAACACATGAAAGAATGCTCAACATCACTAATCATTAGAGAAATGCAAATCAAAACTACAATGAGGTATCACCTCACACCAGTCAGAATGGCCATCATCAAAAAATCTACAAACAATAAATGCTGGAGAGGGTGTGGAGAAAAGGGAAGCCTCCTGCACTATTGGTGGGAATGTAAATTGATACAGCCACTATGGAGAACAGTATGGAGGGTCCTTAAAAAGCTACAAATAGAACTACCATATGACCCAGCAATCCCACTACTGGGCATATACCCTGAGAAAACCATAACTCAAAAACAGTCATGTACCAAAATGTTCATTGCAGCTCTGTTTACAATAGCCAGGAGATGGAAACAACCTGAGTGTCCATCAACAGATGAATGGATAAAGAAGATGTGGCACATGTATACAGTGGAATATTACTCAGCCATAAAAGGAAATGAAATTGATTTATTTGTAGTGAGGTGGATGGACCTAGAGTCTGTCATACAGAGTGAAGTAAGTCAGAAGGAGAAAGACAAATACCGTATGCTAACACATATACATGGAATCTAAAAAAAACCCCAAAAGGTTCTGAAGAACCTAGGGGCAAGACAAGAATAAAGACGCAGACACAGAGAATGGACCTGAGGATGTGAGGAGGGGGAAGCATAAGCTGGGACAAAGTGAGAGTGGCATGGACATATATACACAACCAAATGTAATACAGATAGCTAGTGGGAAGCAGCCGCATGGCACAGGGAGATCAGCTCAGTGCTTGGTGACCACCTATAGGGGTGGGATGGGGAAGGTGGGAGGGAGACACAAGAGGGAGGAGATATGGGGATGTGTGTATATGTATAGCTGAGTCACTGTGTTATAAAGCAGAAATTAACACACCATTGTAAAGCAATTATACTCTAATAAAAGATGTTAAAAAAAAAATCTCAGAATCGTCCCTGGCTGACAGTTCATAACAGAGATTAAAACCTTCTCTTGGGGGGCTTCCCTGGTGGTGCAGTGGTTAAGAATCCACCTGCCAACACAGGGGACACGGGTTCGAGCCCTGGTTCGGGAAGATCCCACATGCCACGGGGCAACTAAGCCCGTGCACCGCAACTACTGAGCCTGCGCTCTAGAGCCCATGAGCCACAACTGACTGAAGCCTGCACGCCTAGAGCCTGTACTCTGCAACAATGAGAAGCCCTCACATCCCAACCAAGAGTAGACCCCACTCGCCACAACTAGAGAAAACCTGCGTACAGCAATGAAGACCCAATGCAGCCAATAAATAAATAAATAAAATAAATCTATTTTAAAAAAAACAAACCTTTTCTTGGAATCAGCAATATTAAATGGTTAAAAGATTGATATTTACATAAATCTATTATGGCCTCTTGACATCCGAAAAAGAGCTCCTGCCCCGTAATCGTTTCCAGGTACTGGTGAATCACATTGCTTTTGGAAACCCATATCTCATTTTGCTGACAGTACGTAAACACTGACTCTCATTACAGTTTATTTTTAAAAAACAAGTCCCACTGTGTCTCTTCCAGCTGCTAAAGGTCCCCCCTCTCAGGGCAGTTTCCTAGGATGAGATAAACTCCTATTCAGAGCAAATTATCTCTCATTGTTTTTTCCTGACCCACGTGTAAATAAGCGTATAGAAGCAGGGCTTTGACCTGGCTGAAAAAATCCAGCCATAAGTTAAAGGGAAAAATGATTCTAATGCCATTTCTCTGTTCTTCTTTCCTCTTCAGATCTGATACTGCAGGATAAGGGATACGCAATGGTGAGCTGTAAGGAGAATAAGATTCTGTTTCTGTGCCTCGCCAAATAATTCTATTAATTCCTGCCCTAAATTTGTCCTGGGTTGAATGTGAGTCAGTAGCAGAAAACTGCTAATAGATTCCAACAGCAAATACTCTCTTTCCAGAAGTGTTTTCATTTAAATTGACTTCTAGCTTCTTGGTCACTGTCTCTAAGCACGTCACTACCAAAGCGCAATCACACCAGATCCCACGGGTGCTGGGGCGCCGGCTGCAGCTACCTGTCTGTAGGTACAGGTCCCCATTTGTCCTGATGATCCAGGCCGTGTCATCGCTCAGGGCCACAAACACCGCCTGGGGCAGAGCTTCGTACCAGTGACGCTTCCCCTTGATGGTCACTTTTCCACAAGCAAAGGCTCGGTTAGATTTCTGTTCAATCTTCCAGAGAAGGGCTCCTGTGGAAATAAAAATTATATTCACTGTCCAATAAATACTGAGAACTTTCACCCCCAAAAGTCCATTCTGGGTGCTGTGGGGAAGAGAGATTTCTACAACACGCCCCCCCCCCCCTTTGCTTCTACCCCGAATGGGGAAAGAGCCTGCGGCGCCGAGGTCTGAACCCCTGCCACCACCCCCCACCGTGTGGCTTGGGGCTCATGTCTCCAAGCCTCATTTCCTCATCTGTGAAATGGGATCATCTGCCCCGTACAGGCTGCTAGGAAGGCTGCAGGTGAGGCTGTATCAAGGACACAGCACACAGAGCGGGCGCATCAGAGGCACTCATCACACGGCAGAGAGGCACCACCAGCACTGCTAGGTGTGCCAGGTGAGGGCCCTAAACGACCTTCGGGAGGCACAGTTAGTGTCCTGAGAAAGTCTGAAAGTCCTACAGGGATTCAAAGGAAGTGGGTCAATTCTGGACCAGCCAAATGGATAAGGTGCAGATGGAAAGGAAGCACTTGAGCTGGGCTGTCCCTTTTTTCACTTAGAAAGGGACAAAGAAGAAGGGGAGGGAAGGAGAAGGGCAGACAGGAAGGTGGTCTATGCAGATGCAGGTGGCGTCTAAGAAACCATCAGAGTCACCAAGAGCACAGACGGCTAGACTAGAGGGTCTGGCACGAGGTGCCAAGGGAGGTGTGGGAAGCGAGGCGGCGGCCAAGCCCGCGGCCCCCGGGGTGCCCACGCTGGACGGGGCCCTCAGCCACAGCACCAACCCTGGTGGAGACAGAGCTCCTGCTAGAGTAGCACGAGACTGAATCGTTTGGAAACACACAGTAATTCACATAATCAGGAAAAAACCGAAGTTTATAAATGGCTGGGGAGATGGACCCAAAGGTAAATGAGAGGAAAAGAATTAAAACCCATAATTATATAAAGCCAGCTAATGGGACAGGCTATTATCTTAGTCTCTAAGGAAAAATATTTTTCAAAGAGATAAAGAGATAGAACAAAACAACCCTGCACAAACTGGTATTTTACGTAGTGACAAAGACCGGGAGAGTTAGAGGAAATCCATCTCAAAGCACAGAGGGCGAGGGGAGGTCACAGGCTCAGTGTTGTCTGCCTTGCATTCCAATGTCCTAACAGTAAACCAGCTACGATACACATACACACTTCTGTTCCACTCGCCATCCCACAAATAGGTAAAGTGGCCAACATTGTGACAAACAAGCAAATTATTCTGTATAGATGAGGGGGTAGAACCTCATCCAGGAAGCATCTGCTCCAGCTCACTGAAAATGGCCTGATCATGGCATGAAGGAAGGAAGGCATTTTCTTTTCACAGTCAGGGAGTAGATTATTCACCCAAAGCATATATATAGCTCATTACAGAGTAATTTCTAAGAAAGAAACCGAACGATCCAAACTTATCCAACACAACCGCGGGCCCATCTTCATTAGTTCAGCTGTTTTAAAGCAACACTAAGGGACTTCCCTGGTGGCGCAGTGGTTCAGAATCCGCCTGCCAGTGCAGGGGACACGGGTTCGAGCCCTGGCCTGGGAAGATCCCACATGCCGCGGAGCAACTAAGCCTGTGCGCCACAACTACTAAGCCTGTGCTCTAGAGCGCACGAGCCACAACTACTGAGCCCACGTGCCACAACTACTGAGGCCCGCGCACCTAGAGCCTGTGCTCCCCAACAAGAGAAGCCATTGCAAGAAGCCCGTGCACTGCAACGAAGACCCAACGTAGCCAAAAATAAATAAATAAATAAGTTATAAAACAACAACACTAAGAAATAGAAACAGATTTATTTTTATAAGGCATTTTATGTTAATATTTCTAAAAAAAAAACCTCAAAAATGGAAGCTATTTGTCTAACTTACAAAACATGTTCATGTGTTACCACTGCAATTAATAAAAAACCAAAAACTGAACTGCAATTACACTATTTTCAGTTGATGTCAAATGCAGCAATCCGCGTTCTTTGGAGAAAACGCCTCAAACCTGCAGGGGAAAAGGCAAGTCTGCTAAATGGACTGGTCCCTGTGTGCTCGGGCCTCTACACCTGGGGCAAGAAGCAGGGAGCTGGGAGGCGAACCTGAGGGCGAGACTGCCACCTGCTGGACGGCATCTTCAAACTTCTGCCAGCGCAGCCCAGCGCCCGGCAACGCGCTGCAGAACAGGCCGCCTTTGTAGTCCAGGCACCAAATGTACTTCTCGGAGACCGCCAAGCTGAGAATGCCGTAGCCCGGCCCGGAGTAACCCATCCAGCTTTCTGCAAACTAACAAGGACAGAGCCTGCTGAGTTCTGCGGCAGAGGACACAGCTGCATGTGTCGTACTGTCGTCAATAAGAAAAGTGTGCAATCACTTAAGTCGGCCCTCTATCTCTCGACCAGCTCTAACAGAAACATCGTGAAGTGGGAGCGGCTGTCCCCTACAAAGACCCCATAACGTTCCTGGAAAACAGTCTGTCACAGATACTACAACCTCTTCCCTCACCTAGCGCTTACATTCAAAGGATCTGGTTTTATTCTACAGGGATACCTCACTTCCCACTTGCATGCAAACTGATTTTTTGTGCAGCTAATCACTAGAGATGTGTTAGGAGACATGGCACTGCCACTATCTTTGTTTTTTTCACCATATTGTTTTAAGCGCTGATCCAATCATCGGACACGTGGCACATTAGGTGGTTGATGGAAATCTGGCCAAGACACTGCCTGACTGAATCTTGTAGACTAAGGTTTAGATGTTAGGGTTCTTTTAAAAATCAAAGCTAAATAAAGTGTGTACTTTAACAGCTTTCCAAAACTGCAAAAGAAACCCATGTATTTGCACAATCACCCACACATGGACGTTCACTGCTTCACAGAGTTTGGCACCCAACCCCTCTCGATCTGGCCCTGACTCACCAGGACACACCTTACCCACCCCCCAACGCAACAAAATGTGGCTTTCCAGCTCTCTGGAGGGGGACAAGGCGGGGAGCAGTGAAGGCTGGGGGAGGTTCTCAAAGTACCAGGTGCTCTCTCACCTAGGACTTTTCTAAAGTTCTGGTCTAGAATGCCAACTGCCCACGCCCTCGGCTCAGCTGCTTGGCTCCTGCCATGGTTGGTGGGCGCCGCGCCCCTCCTGCACTTTGCTCATCACCATCACCCGAGTTCCACTCAACTGGGAGGATCTGCACACGTGTCCAGGACTCTTGAGATCCACGACTGCCTGTCACGGGCACTGCAGCGTCCCCAGCGCCCGACGCAGAGCCTGGCAGCCGAAGGCACTCACGAAAGGGTGAATGCGCGGAAGACTGAGTGAAAGGGCATTCTGTCTTAAAACAAATAAGCAGGACGTTTCACTTTCGAGGTAGGACAGACAGCACAGCGGTTCGAGAGAGAGGGCCCCGGCCCCACTTGCCATGCGACCTGGTGAAAGCCATTTATCTGTCTGAGTCTCCACTTCCTCCTGTGAAACGGGAGCACCTAGTTTGTGGGTTTTGTTCTTCGAGCAGTATGTGAGTTAAACTTGTAAAGTGCTTAGCACGGCACCTGGCGCGCGGTGAGAGCCGCCCCAGTGTCACACGTCATGAGGACGCAGAGAATCCAGAGGCACATCTGGGGAGAGCACGCGTGGCTGCGTAAGTTCACACGCACGACCCACACCCCACCACTCAGCAGAAGGGTTACAGCACAGTCAGTCCCGAACCCAAATACATCTACAGGATAATTACTTGCTAAGGAAACAAGCACTTTTTAAAAGCCACTTTTTTAAATAAAATGACCAAGAACAACTAATAATCGTCTTTTAATTGCACAGGCTAGGTAGAACCCGACCCAGGAAACTGGACGCTCGAAACCTGGTTTCTGTACAGCCTGCAGGGGAGCCCTGGCGCCGCTGCTTGGAGGTCAGGGAGACACGGCTCCTCGAGACGCTTGTCTGCGGGGCAGTGCCTTCCCCTCCACAAGTGGACGGGCCTCTCGCCACTGGTTTCTGGGAGCGGCTCCCAGGCCAATCCAGCCATCCTCTGGGATGACTAGCACTAGCTGCCCATGCTGGGCCGGCCCCGCCGGAATCAACAAGGAGAGGCTGCTTTTGTTGGTAAAGTGGGTAACTGAGCAGGGGTGACAGGTCAGCAGGAGTCCAAGCCATTCTAGATCCCTGCGCTGGAAATCCCCCAAAGGCAGACTTCCAAACACCTCTGGCATACGGGTTTTACAGTAGGAATATAATTTCTTTGCATAAACAGAAAAATATAATCAGTTCGCCAATGATTTCCCTTAAGAAAGGAGCGCACATACCTCCTCTGACTTCAGCAGCCCGGGCTCGTCTGTGCCCGGCGGGTGCAGGTCCTGCAGGGAGCGGCTCCCTGCCAGCTCTGTCACGCTCGTCTCCGAGGATGAAGAGGGCAGCCCGTGGGCATAGATGTCCTCCTCGTCACTGGACGTCAACGCCTGGTCCCGTGAGGGCTGCTCATGGGCGCTGGCCACCGAGGCAGAGACCCAGCGAGGCCGTCGTCCTCCTGCACTCCCCAAGTCACATTCGGAAGCAGCCATTGCTTTCTGGCCTGTGTCATCGTCAGCAGCAGCGTGCCGGGGACTCGAGCCGAGGTGGCCTGGGGCCCCCAGGTGCCTCCGGAAGCCCTGCTCTTCACTGGGCTCCTCAGCGCTGGTCCCTGGAAGCCACCGCTCAGCACTGGGAGTCCAGCTGAGGCTGGAAGGCACCAGGGGGGAGCCCTGGAGGGGGGCCTCCGGAAAAGTGCTCTGGGGTTCAGCAGGCTCCATGCCCCCCACCTCCTGGGCCTCTGCTGAGCTGCCCCGCTCTCGGCAGGGTGACTGTGTGCTCCTTGGTCCACCGCTCACGGGACAGGGCTCCTCTTCGAGCTCCGCGATGTCATCACTCCCTTCCGCGTCCTCCCTCGGATGCCAGGGTGAACTCAACCCCCCGCTAGGCGGCTGCGTCTCGCCTGCGCCGTCACATAGTGGGATTTCGGTTCTTCCGTCACCTTCCTCATTCAGTGAGTCAGGGGCGGGGAAGGGCGCCTCCAAGACACTGAACGTTTCGGGGTCGCTGTATTCTGGCAGGACACTGCTGGCCTCACCACTGAGACTGCACTCCTGGTCCGGAGACCCTGTGCTGGACTGATCCACGGTGCTGCCCAAACTCGAGGTCGTGGACAGCAAGTCTGTGCTCAAGGACTGGGGGCTATCACCAGGACACTCCCAGCAGGGAGTCGATTCAAGGGAACTGGGGCAGGTAGTCCCGCTTCCACCTTCTGTTTAAAAGAAGAACGTTTAAGATTAGGTATGAATCTAGTAAGACACTAACTAAAAAACAAAATTTGGGCTTAAGATAAAAGCGTTTTAAATGAAGGATATCTAAATGGTGAAGAATAAATCTCAAGTACAAATTATCCCAACGCAGGGGTGTTTTAAATGGATGCAAATACTATACACACTGATGGGCTCTGAGGCCTTCAAGAAATGTTAACTAAGAAAAACAAAGGAACAAATGGATCACAGACCAATTTCTTTTAATTATTAAAATGCTAAGGGATCTGGTAACATTTTCCTTCAATATCGCAGTGATCTTTAGCTAGAGAGGCTCAACAGGCACCAAGAAGTGAAAAATTTTTTTAAACTCAGTGTTAAATCCCGTATCTGGGAATTCCCTGGCGGTCCAGTGCTTAGGACTTGGTGCTTCCACTGCCAAGGGCCCAGGTTCAATCCCTGGTTGGGGAACTACGATCCTGCAAGCCATGCAGTGCAGCCTAAAAAAAGAAAAGAAAAGAAAAGAGAAAAAAAAGCCCATATCTGATGACATACCCTACATTAAACATAAATCGATCCATCTAAAGATTTCCATGACCTTCCTTACAGGTTTACAGAATCTCTGGTCTAATAAATGATGTACATGAATAAACAGAAATTTTTACTTAAATATTGAAAAGTATAACACCCAGACCTGTTAAGCAGGGTGGTATGTTACATTATAGTTTAATGCTTTATGTGTGTGTATAATGTATACGTATTTCACAGTAAAACTCCTTCGAGGAGGAAAGACATTCGCTTTCTGTGCTTTCCAGCGAACGGGCAGTGCTCACTCAGCAAGCAGCAGCCTTCCCAGAGAGTTTGGTAAAAGGCCCCACGGGGGCGGAAGGAGGTCGTGTGTGCTCTGCCGTGGATGGTACCTGTCTTCTTCTTCCTCTTCTTCTTTTTCACTTTGAGAGGCTTCACAATGAGCTCTTGGTCGAAGTCCTCCGAGCTGATCACACTGAACCTCTTCGAGGTGAGCTGGCCGCTCCTGCCCAGCTCGGGAGCCGCCTGCGGCCCGGAGCTGCTGTCAGTGGAGTTGAGTGAGCTGCTCCTGCTTCTGGGCTCGCTGGCCACGGAAGAGCCTCTGAGCCTCGTCTCAGAAGGCGTGGCCCCCGGCGGCTTCTCCGCACGCTGCCCATGGACTTGCTCTGGGCATCCTGACGGCTCCAGACCGTCCCGCACTGAGAAAGAAGAGTCAGTTTTACCATGGTTACTGGAGGGAAAGATGGAGTGCTCTTATTAAGGTTTGCCAGCCCTAAATACCAGCCTGCTAAATTCAGAGAAACCAGCGAAACTAAAAGAATTGTACAACAGGTTCCAACACGTGGTTTTTGTTCTCCAGGAAGTTCATGTATCAAAATCAGTCAAATAACTCACAGCAGCTGTCTTCTGTAAATAACTCAAAGTAAGGGACTATCATAAGGTAGAGCATTTCTCACTTCAACTCACAAAATAATAGATAAAGGTGAGATGCCTATTAAAAAAGGGCTTGGAAAAAAAATAATAATAAAAAAGAAAAAAGGGCTTAGAGGGAATTCCCCGGTGGTGCGGTGGTTAGGAGTCGGTGCTTTCACTGCTGGGGCCCCCGTGGTGCAGCCAAAACACTACTCCTCCAGGGACCTCTGAAAAACACACATGTACCTATAATAAAAATTCTCAAAGTTCAAGGAGGGAAAGGTCATTTTTCACCAGCGCAAACTCAAAACAGAGGAGTTCATTAAAGGAGTCCACGTGCGAAGAGGAGAGAGAGCAGAGCAGGACTGGCAGGGGCTGGTGGGCCTGGCGCTCTGTCCCCACCTCCATGGACACGTCCTCCTCTCAACACGACAGTAGGAGGTTCCAGCCACAGGACCCTCAACACAGGACTGGGGGTCCATTTTGATCCATCCAGCCATCCTTCTGTTACCGAGTACCTACCGCATGCCAGATGCGTTCTAGGCATGGAGACACGGCCCTTACCCAGACAGGTGGGCATTCCTGCCTCGACCGGGGGCCACAAGTGGGGACGAGCAGGGCAGGGAAGTGACTTGCAGAAGGTCACACAAGATTACACAGGCAGATCTTGGTCTGGAGCTGCACCGTCCAGTACAGTAGCCAGCAGCCATGTAGCTATTTAAATTCAGATTCATAGACATGAAACAAAACTTAAAATCCAGTTCCTCCGTTGCACTCAGCACATTTCGAGTACTTGGCAGCCACGTGTGGGCAGTGTAGTTACAGAGCATCTTCACGCCTGCAGGAAGTCTACTGGCCTCGTGGCTCCTGGTCACTTCTCCCCTGTAAGTGGCACTGCCACTTGGTGACACTGTTAAGGCCCCCAGCTCACAGGCTCAAGAGCAGAGCTCTCTCCGTTTCTATGAAAGTTACAACCCTGGAATGATGTTCGCCCCAACCTGCCCTCTGTGACTTAAGAGGTAATTCACTCTCTTCTTGCCATCTCTTGGGAGATTATAAATTCAGGACAGTGACAGCTAGTACTTCATTTTTGTCTTTTTGAGGCTAAATATCTGGCTAAAGTGAGGCTGTTTTTTATATTCTCCCAGCAGCCAAACCTTGTATTCTAAGGTTTAAAAGACAAACACTATAGCCATGTCCCAGGCAGGCCGCTCCCTCCCGTGCTGGAGGGAGGGAGCCCCACTTCCTGCCCAGGATCTCCGCTGCCTCTCTTGAGGTCACTCAGACATTAGCTGACACTGGTCAGAGTAGAAACACCAAGGATGGCCCTGTGGCCAAGAGACCCGAGGAAAGCAGTGGCGTGCCCACAGCCATGGCACAGGGCGGGCCCTCCTGACTAACCTGGCGAGGCAGGGGAAACAGCGGCTGAAGCGGAAATCTGGACGGTGACTTGGGGCTTGTCACGTACTACCCCAATCCTCAATTTTCTAATCTGTGAAAGGAGGACACCATTGACTAACACGCTAGGGTCTTCTTCAAACCACGTGCTGTGTTAGGGCCACAAGGTGAGTCACGAGAGCCTTGCAATCAAAAATCTATTCTTGCGTAAGGTAAGTGGTGAGGCAATGACTCCAAAGTCAAGGAGCAGCAGGAAAAGGGCCCCAGGAACGCAGTGAGGAGAGACTGACTCAACTAAGGCGACTGGAAGAAGTTATCAAAAGTGCGGCGATACCGACCGAGTCTTGAATGATAAGGGGGAGGGGTGCACAGGGCAGCACCCGAGGAGGGCAGGCCTCGTCGGGGAGACCCAGGCAGCAGTGTCAGGACAGGCGCACAGCAAGCAAGGAAGGGCCAAGGCCGCTCCAGCCCCAGGGAGGAAGGTGGCCTGGTTAGGGAAAGGCGGGGGCAGGACGCCTGTGCAACTGCCCAGTGAACTTCAGAGGCCCCACGAGGCGCTGGCATCTGTGGGCACTGCCCTCACCTCAGGCATCGGGCCCTCCCGCACGAGGCTGTTTGGAGGACTGGACGAGATCGTGAACGTTAAGTGCTTAGCAGAGTCTGGAAGGTGGTGAGCACAACGCAGTGATGACAAGGCGGGGAGGGGCAGTGGGGCAGGGGCCACACAGCTGTTGTTGCGACCACCAGGAACAAATACATAAAGTACCATGGTCGTGTGCATGCACGACAACACAGAGTAAGGTTCTTTACTCATTAGAATTTGGGCTTAAATATGAATTACCCAAAAAAAGTCAAAAGCACAGAGAATAATCAATACTACAAGGAAGAACTATGTTAAAGGTAAAAAACCGTGTCCCAGGTGACAGACTGAAATGTTCTAAAATCTTACGCATCAATCCCACAGGCTGTCTCAGAGTGTCGGACGGAGATCAGTCAGGTGGGTGCCAAGTTCTCCTTCCTACTCACCCAACCTCCCTGACCTCCAGACCCGCAGAAGCAACTCCACCAAATGTGAGACCCTGGCTGATGTAAGCCTGAAAGCAGGTAACCTTCAAGAAAAGTATCACAAACCGTCTTTTCAGAATCAAAGGAAACCCTCTGAACACCTCGTTTCGAAAAAGCTACAATCATTTAACGAGCAAAAAAATGGTACGTTTTATACATCACAAACTGTAATTACATACATTTTATAACAAATTTTGTAACAAATACATTTTATAACATTTTACAAGAAATACAAACCTATTGATGCTAGTCCTTCAGGCCTGCTTGAAATTCTTATAATGTTCCTGTCTCCCTTTAAGAAAAATATTTCATTTTCTGTGCAGGAAACAGACACGATATCACCTGATCCTTCCAAACCAGCAATTGTGGCCTGTCCAAAAAAAAAAAAAAAAAAAAAATCACAAAACCAGGCAATAGTAATAGTTCAAATCGTACAAGCATGTGTAGCAATCCAAATAAGTCAGACAACTGCTCTTCGTTGTCATGATTCTGAAACTCAGGGAAATTCAGTCAAAGTCAGGTAATACCTGACGGATGTGTGACTGAGTCACAACCCCTGCCAGTAAATTTATGAGACTGAGCGAGCAGTCTCTCCCCGCCTCTCGGCCACCCTCTGAACCGGTCCCCGCCTTGCTTCCCGCTCTCTGATCGCCCTTTTCTGGCTTCAGGTGCCTCAACTGGCCAGTCCAGACCCCAGCCCTGTTCCTCCACGACGTCACGCGCTCTGCTTGAGTTCTTCTCCTGACCCTTGCTCACTGGGAGAGTTCCAACTTGACTCAGAGGCCGCCTCCTTGGGAAGCGTCCCTGACAAGCTCACCCTCCTCAGCAATGCCCAGGACTCTTCAGAGCTCACAGCACTTTACACAAACCCCCACCTGGCACGTCTCTCCTGGGCTGGAATGTGTGCTGGCAGGTCTAGGTCCCCTACTGTGCCGAGTCCTGTGGGAGAGACTAATAGGCATTGCAACCCTTGGTTTTGAATGAATAAGTGAGTGAGGGAGGATTCCCCTAACATCACCTGAAAGCAGACAGCAAACAAAACACAGGACATCCCTGACTTAAAAAAAATTCTTGCTTCTCAGTCAACAGTGCAAATAAGAGACTAGCTCATTATAGAAGAGAAAATGAGTCTCAGTCCTTTGTAAATTCTTAATAATCCTGACAGTAGTTTGAAAGCTTTTAATCATGTTGCCATGTAAAGACTCTCTGCTCATGACCAGGTCCTCTGTCTCCACTTCTCCATCTATAAGATGAAGTTAATTATACCTACTGGGGAAAGCCCTGGGTAAGTGCTCAGAAGAGAGGAACTGATGTACAATTATACCACATCTTGACCCCGCCAATTAACAAGTGCACATTAAGTTCAAATAGTACCCAGAAAAAGAAGAAAAGCTGTGTTCTCTACACCTGAGGAAGAATACAAAAATGTCTTTCAAAACGTTCCTTAAGAAAAGAAACAAACTCAGGGCTAAAAGGCATCTTGGTGATTCCCTAACCCAACTCACCAGTCCCCTCCCCATGTTCCAGGTAGGGAAACCAAGCCAGGCAGACGAGAGACTCCTGGTTATAGGTAGAACCAGACCAGAATCTCCCAGGAAGAAGAAAAAGGTCAGTTTTTCTTTCTACTAAACCAGTAGTACCAGGCATGGCTGATAACAATCATTAAGAAGCCTTGCAGACGAATTTCATTTTCTGTCACACAACTAAGAAAACCCTTTGATTTCTACCGTGAAGTGCTGCTCATAAAGGAAAGGGCGTCTGTTAGAGGCCTGCTGACTTCAAGAAGGAAGAACGTGAGCAGGATGGGGGTGGGGGGGGGGGGAGGGGAAGACGTACAAAACAGCAAAAGCTCTGCTCTTAAGAATAAACTGAAACTACACAGCTTTGTTTTTTTTTAATTCCTAATTCCACCTCTGTTGGCAATAACCTCTTACCATCCTGATTTAAACAAATTGTTTCCTACCATGATTTAATAATGCTGGGGAAAAAAATAACGCTGGAAAGTTGTCCAAATACATCATTAAGTAAAGTGGGGAAAAAAATGGCAAAACAGTGTGGCTCCATTTGGGTAGGAGAAATAAGGGTAAAAGAACAGGGTGGAAAGAAAGCTAGAGAAAGAGCCCCCTGCCCAACTCAGTGTTGCCCTGCGGAGGCCTTGGGGAATGAGTCCCTATCTTACTGTTTCCGTCATGTTTGAGTTTTCATTTAATACCCTCACAGTAATTTGGTAGTCAGAAAACACGTGATTCAAAGAAATTATAAAGAACAAGTTTAATTTTGTGCTTAAATAAAACACACACAGGGCTTCCCTGGTGGCGCAGTGGTTGGGAGTCCGCCTGCCGACGCAGGGGACGCAGGTTCGTGCCCCGGTCTGGGAAGATCCCACGTGGCGCGAAGCGGCTAGGCCCGTGAGCCATGGCCGCTGAGCCTGCGCGTCCAGAGCCTGTGCTCCTCAATGGGAGAGGCCACAACAGTGAGAGGCCCGCGTGCCGCAAAAACACACACACACACACACACACACACACACACACACACACACACACACTTTCTTAGCAGGGGACAGGACTATGAATATTTAAACCAAATATTTTTTCAAATCTACAAAAACAACCAAGCCTTCATTTGGATTCCTTGACTGGCCCAGTGGAAAAAGCAAAGCATCTGAATCAACACTGTTCCTTCTATCGTCTGAGAAATGAAGCAGAACAGTCCATAAACATTCTCTTGCCTCTAGACACCAAAGACGTGGTACAATCACTTTACTTACCTGGTTGACGGTGTCTAGAAGGTAAATACTATATTCATTCCAACTCAACACCCAGCCTTCTTGAAAGAAACATGAAACAAGCCCCAGGTGTTTCTCGGGTGAGCTGCAACTTCCCCTGTCAGAGGATTCCAGGCGCGGGTAAAGCTCGAAAGGCTTGACTCCTCCAGCAAAGACATCTTTTAAGATAAACGTGGCCTGAACGGTCCCATGGATGTCAGCCTTCCACAGCCGGAGCCCAGGCCGTGATGCGTACAAGGTTAGATCACTTTGCTTACAAAGTCCTGGTATAAAACAAGCACCAAATTTCCCAGTGCTGAAATTACAAGAAAAAAAGGAGGAAAGAAAGAAAGAGAATGGACTGATTTAAAGTGCTAGCTGTCAACCCCCGATATTAACTCTAACAAGAATTTCTGGACTAAGCCAAAACAAGATTGATTCTTTTTCGAACCCTTTTCTACAGTGTATTTTTTGGTTAACTGAACCGCCTGGCCAACACTGAGGCCACAGAGGAGCCAGTCTCTGTCTTGCACTCCCTACAGCATCCTCAGAAGTGTGCACCCCGCTAAGCACACGCAACAGTTACTGCGCACAGTGCTTTTTTTTTAAAATCATGCTGTTATAGTTTTTAATGTATGAAATCTGAAACAATTTAGATTTATCACTGACAAAGTGATAAGTACATACCTAGATCAGTTTCTTAGGTTAAGTTGTGGCTAAATTGACTTTTAAGTTCAAGGTTCTAAGTGACTGGGGGAGTCCTCTGTACCTTGAACAGCCTTCTGTCCCGATGAGATGAGCCCCTACTATAACAACCTGTGCTAATTCCATCATATTTATCACATTGTATTTTAATTATCACTTTATCAGTCTCCCATCAGATTGGGGATTCCTTCAGGGAGAGACTACCTTGTTCACTTTGTCTTGAAATAGGTACCAAATTATTTGACAAATGAGTAATGAACAACACTTCAAATGGCATGCATTTATCCATAATTATTGAGTATTAACCTACAAATATTCTATAATCCGATTTTAAATCCTCCAATTTATACCAAGGCTTTGATTTAGCTTATGCTAATTTTTAAAATGTGTAGCTTTGAGGCATTTTATTATAAAAGCTGGTACTCATATACATAAATGAGTAAGAACTTAACATTTATCATACATTTACTTCACTTTTTAGCTTGGCCTTCTAGTAAATCTTTAGCCTCATTGATTTTGGCTGCTATATAAGGAGATCCTCCCTCGTCTGGGTGATTTAAAAGCATAATTCATCGATGAGCATCTCTTATGTTTCCCTTACTGGCAGCAGGGCTTACACCTAGTATTAACGATGCTTCCCGTTTTGTCATTTTGGGTTCAAACCCACCTCTGTAATAGCCACCACTAAAGGCAGATTTCGGTAGACTTTGAACAACTTGTTTTACTTGAGGCTCCATATGCTTCATGGCCTGCGAAGCATAACCCCCTGCAAATCCTGCAGCAGCAATGGTCAGTCCAACCGCTACCGCTGTACTGGCCGTGGCTCCCGCTCAGCTCCCCGGCCCCACCTGTAGCACGGCTCATCCCACCCCACCAACTCTATGCCCCTACCCTGCACGCAGTGCTTTATCTCCACTCTCCTTTAACCCTCAACACAGCCCTGTGAGGCAAGTATCACGACTCCCGTTTCAGAGAAGAGGAAACGGAGGCAGAGGTGACAGACCCAGGACTGACCATCCTCTCCCTGCTCTGAAATTCTGTTCGTTCTAACATCTGACTGCTGTGCTCATCCCAACATGCCAGTGAATGAGCTTTATGTCCAGAATTGGGGCAGCACTTTCAGAATTTCTCTTAAACCCATCACAGGGACCAATCTCCATTCTGATCCTCCGGCTTGGGGTTTTTTTCCTTCTATTTTTAGTATCATGAAATATCTAACACAAACAAAAGAATATATATGCTTTGAAGCCTAATAATGAAATATACACCCAGGAACCTATCCCTCAACTTTGGAAATAAATCGGTAGTCACATCGCTGATGCTCTCTGGCTCCAAGAGTCCCTGCCCACTCCGTTCTCATGTGTGAGCCCTGAATTTTGTGTTCATTATTCCCTTGCGATTATCGATAGTTTAACCACATACCTACGTACTCCTAAACACCACATAATTTAGTATTGTTTGCCTTCCATTTGTATAAAAATAATAGTACGGGGCTTCCCTGGTGGCGCAGTGGTTGGGAGTCCACCTGCCGATGCAGGGGACGCGGGTTTATGCCCCGGTCCGGGAAGATCCCACATGCCACGGAGCGGCTGGGCCCATGAGCCATGGCCACTGAGCCTGCGCGTCCGGAGCCTGTGCTCCGCAACGGGAGAGGCCACGACAGTGAGAGGCCCACGTAACAAAAAAAAAAAAAAAAAAATTAGTATGATGCTATTTGCATCCTTTTGCAACTTGCTTTTAACTTAACATAATATTTCTAAGATTTATCCTTGTTGATAAAAAAAAAAAGCTGTAGCTTATTCATTTCCACCACTATAAAGTGTTCCACAATTTATTCTCCCTCTTGTTGAAGGGCATTTGAATTATTTCCACTTCTTCGTTTTGAATAGTGCTCATTATGAGCATTTCTGCAAATAACCTCCTAGTATTCAGGTCTAAGAGTTTGTCAAGGATACTTCAGAAGTGGAACTGTTGGATTGCTGGGTAACTGCCGGGCTGCTGAGTAAAAGCAGATTCAAGTTTGGAAGACAACTTCAAACTTTTTCCAATGTGTTTACACCAGCCTATACTCTCGTCAGCAATCTATGAGTTCTCATTGCTCCACATCTTTGCCAAATCTCAGACGTCCACCAGAATTCAAATATTAAGAGTTTCAGTTTGGGGGCTTCCCTGGGGGCGCAATGGTTAAGAATCCGCCTGCCAAAGCAGGGGACATGGGTTTGAGCCCTGGCCCAGGAAGACCCCACACACCGTGGAGCAACTAAGCCCATGCGCCACAACTACTGAGCCTGCACTCTAGAGCCCGTGAGCCACAACTACTGAGCCTGTGTGCCACAACTACTGAGCTCGTGTGCCACAACTACTGAGCCTGTGTGCCACAACTACTGAGCCTGTGCTCTAGAGCCTGTGCTCTGCAACAAGAGAAGCCACAACAATGAGAAGCCCGCACACCGCAACGAAGAGTAGCCCCCGCTCACCACAACTAGAGAAAGCCCACACAGCAACGAAGACCCAATGCAGCCAAAAATAAATAAATTAATTAATTGATTTAAAGAAGAGTTTCAGTTTAACCCTAAGTCCTGCTGATTCTCTCTCCGAAGTATTTCTCTGATTTTGAATGGTAGAAAGAGGACTGGCTTTAGGTCGACACCTGGGCTCAATTTCCAGCCCTGACATTTAATAGCTACGTGGTATGGATCTCAGTTTCCTCGTCTATAAACCAGGGATAATAATTCCCATCTCAAAGGCTGATGTGAGGATTGAATGACAATCTATGAAGACAAAAGAAAGCAATGCTTGTGACACCGTAAGTCCCCACAAACGCTCAACTGCCTCTAATTCCACCCCTGTTACCATCGTGTGCTCCTGTGGGTGCTGGGCCCTCTCCTCACCCTCACTGCACACACAGCACACCCGACCCCCAGGGAGGCATCCACAGGGCCCATCTCACAAAGGCACGCAGATAAAGTTATCTGGGTGTTTCTCTGCACTTCAGCATCTCACTACACCCCTTTGGCACCTCAGTAACTAAATCCTTCCAGACAGGGTCTAAGGAGGACACCAAATATCGAATTCAGCTTTGAACTGAAAACTGTTAGACTAACCAAGAATCAAGATCGTTACTAACCTAACACTGTAGATCGTTCATGGACAGCTCCATAATCAGCATCATGTTCTGATGATTTTCTTTAGTGATCTGTTCTGCAAAGCTTCTCTAAATAGAGACACCCAAAGAACTCTGGCACGGTAGCCTATAACCTCTTCCTCCTGCCTTTCCTATCAAATCAATTTCTATTTGGTGATCCAATTTTCAAATCTATATTTCTCCTACTAATAAAGTCCTCTTAAAAATCTCTTATCGGACTTCCCTGGTGGCTCAGTGGTTAAGAATCCGCCTGCTGGACTTCCCTGATGGCGCAGTGGTAAAGAATCCACCTGCCAACACAGGGGACACGGGTTCGAGCTCCAGTCCGGGAAGATCCCACATGCCGCGGAGCAAATAAACCCGTGCACCACAACTACTGAGCCTGCGTTCTAGAGCCTGTGAGCCACAGCTACTGAAGCCCGCGCGCCTAGAGCCCACGCTCTGCAACAAGAGAAGCCACTGCAATGAGAAGCCCGCGCACTGCAACAAAGAGTAGCCCCCGCTCGCCGCAACTAGAGAAAGCATGCGTGCAGCAATGAAGACCCAACACAGCCAAAAATAAATAAATAAATAAATAAATTTATTTTTTTTTTAAAAGCTCCTGTCACTTCACCTTAGGTGACTAAAGCGTTCATTTTAACAAACATTTAGTGAGCTCCTGAACCATGTAAGAGACTCTGCGCTGCAGGCAACGTGAAAGATGCATAAGAGGAAGGTCTTGGCCCTGTCTCAGAACGCCCTGCAGCAGACGGGCGTCTGCGAGGTGCCATCTCTGAGGCTCAGAGGGCTGCTCGAGGACTACAGACAAGGGGGACACGTTCTGACCTGGGCATCAAAGGCTACACCTCGGTTACTGAGTGGACAATGACCAGACTGAGAAAGGGGAACGGGCACTCCAGGGAAGGGCAGGCTGAGCGGGGGCCTGGCGTGGGGCTGCCTCTGAGGCGCTGCGGAAATGTGTCGGGAGCGGGTTGGGAGAAGGCAGTTAAGTTGGGGATAACTAGCTGCAGCCGGATGCAAACCGTCCTCTACCCCAGACTCGGCCACCACCTGCCTGCAGGGCGATTCTGCAGCACTTGCTGATGTCAGTCTGAATCAGACACAACAACTCCAACTTCTAAGGTCTAAGCACTGCAGGATTCTAAAATCATAAACACATTAACTTAGTTTCTTAGTTTTGGGGGAGCTGATTTCTAGGAAGACCACTGATGACTTTACAAGACACCTTAATTCCCTATATGAGCCACATTAATGTGAAAGAAGTGTTGCCGGTGATCAAATTCTAACCAGCAAATGGTGATTTCTAACTTATGTATAATAATGCTGAGCACAGACAGTGAGCCTGAAACGGGAGAACGAGTCAAAGCCGGGACAATCGTCTCCACAGCCGAATGCCCAAAGGCCACCAGACGGGCACGAGGTGGCTCTGGCGGGGGCGCAGGCTCCACACCCCACACCCGGCCTGGACTGCAACACGCAGGCGCTGCCGACCCAGGACAGTCCTCCTGACTGGACTGCAGGACACAGCGATAGGCACAGGGAGGGCGCCAGCATACACACAGAGGAGAACCGAGACGGAACACACGTCGGGGGATGGCTGGGGACTTTGAGATTTTTCTAGGAGAAACATACACGCTGTTCTGTCAACCTGAGGAGGTTCGCAGACTGGGTCAGGAGAGGACAACCTTGTCTTCCGGCACTCCCTGCGCCTGTCCCCGAGCCCGGCTTCCCCGCTGGCCCACAGCAGCCGCCCAACATGCCGCCACACGCTCCATCCAATGTCTCGCCAGCCCGCACGGTCCCCTCCAGGCACCCGCTAGTTCTGCGTTCCCATCTACACAGAAAGAGTCCTGCCTACACTCACTGCCCACTCCCCCTCCCTCAGCCCTTCCAATGCCACGGCCTGTGCCCCACGAGGGTGGGCACGCGCGGCCGCCACGTTGCCAGAGACAAAGGCCCGGCTCAGCCCACCTCTCGGGCCGATCAGCGGCTCCGACACGGCTCTCTCTGACACGGAAGCAATGGAGTGCCCCAGAATGCGAGGCCTCCCCGTTCCCTAGTGACACTCACTCCCCAGGTGAGCTCCTCCGTCCCAGAGCTTTGAACACTGTCTATCGGCTAACGGGCCCCCCCCCGCATGCACAGCTGCGGCCCCACCTGCTTCCTGAGATCAGCCGCGGCTCCTCCGCCAGCCTCCTCGACACCAGTAGCCGGCAGCCCCGCCTAGCCAAGTGCTCAAGCCACCATCTCCAAGGGATCATCTCTCTCACACCCGAGAGTCAACACACCCGTTGGCTCTGCCTTCAAAGCGCCCCCACCACCCCGGCCTGGCGTGAGGCCCTGCTCTCACCTGAATCGCCCGGGAGCCCCCGCCAGCCTCCCTGAGCAGCTGCCCTCACCCCCCTCACACAGCAGCAGGACTGACTCCCCGGGTCAAGGCCGCTCATGACTCTTGATGGCAGTGGCGTAAAGCAGCCCCTGAGCAGGGCCCACAGGATGGGCCGCCCCCAGCGCCCCTGCTCCCAGCGCCTGGTCTGTGCTCCTAGACCCTCCGTACAGGCAGGGCTTCTGCCGCCCCTCCCATCCTCCCTCAGGAATCTGCTCAGGCTCCACCCACCGGCCTGCCCTAAACACACACCCGCTAAGGCAGGCATCCTCGCTAGCTCCATACCCATTCGTTACTACTGAACATTCTAGAACACATTTAATGTCTGTCTCCCTCACAGGACATGAGCTCCTTAAGATCAGAGCTCTTGTCCCCCTTGTTCACAGCTGTCTCCCCAGACTGAGAAGGGCGCCTGGCACACAGCAGAGACTTAGTAAGGATTTTCCAATGTTGAATGAATAAACACTCTCCCTGGGTGACCTCATCCAAGGCTAGGGGTCTCAATGTCACCTGCATCTGATGACCTCATTTTCATTTCTGGCCAAAACCCCTTCCCTGAATTTCCAACCTGTGTATGTTATGCTGGACTGTGATTCCTGCTTAGTTACCTAACAGGCATCTCAGATGCAACAGCCCCAAGACAGAATTCCTGAAGCCTAGACCTTAACCCTGGTCTTCCCATCTCAGTTAAATGGCTTCACCATCTGTCTAGTTGCTTTAGCCAAGGGCACGGAAACCCTTTCTTATTGTTCCTTCCTCTCCGTTTTCCCCTACATCCGATTCACCCCATTACCCTCCATCCCCCTCCCCTCTCCTCTCCATGCCGGGTACCCAGGCGAGGTCTCCGTGCTACTCCTGGGCTCCTGCAGCAGCCTTCTCACTGTTCCCTGCCTGACCGTCTCCAAGTCTCCAGGCAGATCCAGGGTAGCCCAGATAGTCCTTCTCCTGCCTGAAGCCCCCCACTGGCTTTCCGTCTCACCTAGAATAACGCGGTTGACAGCATCTCTCGCCTCACGCAGGCTCAGGCCCTCCTTTTCAGCACCCGGCCCACTGGTCTGCAGCCACCCCAGCCCCCTCCTGGCTCCTCAAACATTCTAGGCCCTGGCCCGATCCAGGGCCTTGGCATCTGCTGTCCCCTGAGACCAGAACGCTCTTCCCATGCTTTAGGCTTCAGCCCACAGATCTCTTACCCAGAGGCCTTTCCTGACCATTCTAAGAGAGGCCCTGCCCCCAGCTGACACCTCACCCTGATGTTGCCTCTATAGCACTGACCGCAGCCTAGACCTTTATCTTACTTGAGGGCAGAGGCCCGTCCCCTGGCTCACCGCTGTCCCACCGTGTGCCACCCAGAGGGACACTGTTGCATGGGGCACCACTTCCAGGAGGCAGACATGGCCGACGTCCTTTTCTAACCACAGCCTAACACGGCACACGACAGACACAAGCCTTCAGGACACAGAGGTTAAAAATGTTTCCGTTCATTCTGTCATCCCTCACTTCTCCAATACAGCTCCCTAGGAGAAACGGGACCCGTTTATCTGTTTCTATATCCTGCAACAGTGCCTGGCAAGAGTGTGCTTCTAACGCAAGCTGCCGAAAGACTTGGCTACACAACGCACCAGGAGAGGTTCATGCCAAGGTGCTCAGGTTTCACACGGGAGGTTACAAGGCCAGGTTTGAAGAGAAAGACTGTTGGGTATACGATCCCCGTGGAGGTAACTGGTTTTTAAATCTCTCTTTTTACACCTTCCTTCCAAAAAGACACAAGGCAGTAAGACACTGACAGACAAGCCAGGACGAGACGTCAAGCAGAAGAGTGGGACCCTGGCAGAGGGAAAGTCACGACCAAGCTCTGCACACCACTAAGCCCAAGATACAGATTCTGCTGAGCGTTCCAGGGGCCGACAGGGAGATTACTGTTACAGAGACACCAGATTGTTGGTGGAATTAGGGGGGTATTCAGCGTGGAAAGTAGAAGCCAAAGGGGAAGCGCGAGTGTCTTTTAATAGCCATGGACCGCCACGCAGAAAAAGAATAAACTTGCACTGTGCTGCTGCAAAGCCCGGGACACAGCACAACAGACGCTGAGAGGACCGGAGGCTGGCACCCCCAGCACCACCAGCTGGCCCTCACTGACGCCCGCCCACCTCCTGCCCACTCTCCAGCACCACGCCACCCAGGCCTCCGCGTGCCCCCGGCCCACATGCCGTCCTGCCCCTCCGCCTCTCCCCCGGGCAGGCTGGGACTGGACCGACCCTGCTCGCCGCTGTTCGTCCAGGGAGCAGGTCAAGGGAGGGGCCCTCTCCCGGCCAGGAGCCCTGACCCCTTCCAGACCCGCCCCCTCCCTCAGGATGCCTCCCGGCCCCAGGCTGGGCTACAGCCCATGTGAACTCTTCCCGCGCCCCCCGCTCAGCTCCACAGCAGGTGACACAACTGGTAGCACCTCCCCTGCCGAGGTCACTCCATTTTCACGATGGCGCGGCACGCGGAGGGAGTGAGGGGCGAGCTCCCACCCGACCCTGAGCCTGACCCCTGACCTCCTACCCGGGCTGTGGAGGAGGGGGCCCGCAGGGAGCAGACTGCAGCAGCCACATGTGGCGGGCAGGCTGGGGACCTGCCTGGAGCCGCGTCACCACGAGCCTCGACACCAGCGATGCTCACCTTTTCCTTGGCTGTGTTCCGATTTGCTTGACAGACTTCTCCTCGGTGTAGAAAAGCAGACTTCTCTGTAAAGTCGAGACCAGCAGCACCTTCTGGCTGTAGTCCAGTTGCACGATGGAAGCCGGCTCCTCCAGTACCAGGTGGGAGTGACAGATGCCCTGCGGAGAGACGCCAGGTGAGGCTCACAGGTGAGGCACACGGCGCAGCAGGCTACAGTGACCCCACGTCAGTCTGAGAGGACTGGCCCGTGTCCCTCCTGTGCCTGACACTGACTTTGGTCAATGTCTACCTTAAAACGAATGCTTTAATTCTCACTGGATTCAATGTCAACCCACTGCAATGAAATTATTTGCAAAAGTCCTCACTAATGAGAAAACAGTCAGGGTTACCATCTATGTCAGGCTACATCAAGTTGGCCAAGAAACATTTACAAATTCTGTATAATTTTTTAAAAATGTTCTCAGTACACGGTTCAAAGAAGAATCCATAAAGATTAAGCAGAAATATGTTGCACCATGTGTATTATTAATTCCAACAGAACACAGTGGGGCTTTCTATAATATTACTGTGACAACGGTCAAAGTCCATATCGCACTCCTCCTCCACAAAGGGTTCAAAGCAATCGTGGGGACATTATATCCTTGCCTACTGAAAGGGTCAGAAGAAACAGGTTAGAAAGAAATTAAAATGGTATTAAGTATATTGAAGAACAAAGTAAAGTTCTAGAAGGCATTTTACTGCTAACACAAACTATATTTCTTGGTGTCAAATATCTGCTGCTATAAGCCCTCTTCTCCTGAACCTGTTTCTTTAATTGTTTAGAAATACTGATGCAATGTCATAGACCTTTGCAGGGAAAGAGGGAGCAGCAATCAGATCCACTGGCAAGATGTACATACAGTAAAATTCACTCTTTTTAGATATACAATTCTATGCATTTTGACCAATGCATTCAGTTATGTAACCACCAGCACAATCAAGACGGAAATCCCCACTACCCCGCAAACATCAAGGACATCAAGCCAGATTTCCCTCCCACCTTTGCAGTTATGCAGACCGTAGCTTTTCAATTTTTGACTTAGCTTGTAATGGAATTACATTTATTGTACCGTATTGTGCAAAAACACACGTCTTTTTTGCAAATCTCATGAAATACCTGTGTCTCCAAAAAACAATGATCAGAACCTCAATAAAGCTGGGAAAAGAACGATCAGCACGCTAAGGATAGTGCTTTCTGCATGTGATTTTTCTCTCCATTTCCTGACATCATGCATGAGCAGTGTCCCCTCTGTGCAACTCAGGCTGGGGGAGTGACAGCAGGAAAGTACAAATATGCGGACCCTTAAAACCTTAACAAAATGTTTCCCTGGAGAGTAGCAGTTCTCAAAGTGTGGTCCACAGTCCCTGAGGGTCCCCAGGCGAGGTCAAAACCATTTTCATTATAATACTAGGTTTTATCTGCCTTTTCCACCAAGCTGTGGTTTGTACTGATGGTTGGTAGAGCTACTGAAAGCTCAAACGGGCCCAAGATGAGCAGGGCACCAAAATCCGGTAGCTGCCACGGTGCCCTTAGCCACTGTGCACTTGCAGCAAAAACATGAATTTCACTTCAGAAGGTCTTTGACGCAGGAAAATGATAATTCCATCTCATCTTGACTCTTGTGTACGCCTATCTTTGTATTCTGTGTGACAAAACAGGGCACGCACGCAGCCCTCCTGCTGATGCTGAAGCACTTCGGTTCTCAAGGAGGAAGCACTTGTGCGGTCGTATGAGCTGTGAGCTCAACCAGCTGCTTTTTTTCACAAAATACATTTTTACTTGAAATACTATAATTATTCAAACTTGGGTATTTGGCAGGCATTTTCTCAGAAAGAACAAAGTAAGCCTGTCAATTCAGGGGAAATAAGTGACAGTATTTGTTGCTGATAACAAAATGCAAGTTTACAAGTGAAGATTAGAATTTGAAAACTTGTATCCACCCTTGTGAACCTGACAGATTCCCAACAGCTAAAGACTTTTCTCATCAGAATGATGGCGATATTAACAAAGGTGCTTTCTTTGATATTATATAATTAAATGTTTCAACATTTGGAAGATGTGCATCACTCAGTAGGTCAGTATTTTCCAAGTGATCAATGCAAGATGTTACAAAATCACACGTGGGTCAAGGAGCCATTCTAAGTGCAAGACAGACCAATAGATTTCACTGTAACAGAGCAAGAAAAATTCATCTATATGCTTTCAGATTCCACGTTGTAACCAACCTTTAAAGAAACTACCATTAGTCAATTTGGAGATGTGGTTAAAGAATGTCCACAATTCTCTGGAAGGGCTATTAAAATACTCCTCCTGTTTCCCACTACATGTCTGTGTGAGGCCAGATTTCCTTTACATACTCTAACCAAAACAATGTATTGTGACAGACTAAATGCAGAATCCAGCTGTCTTCTATTAAGGCAGACATTAAAGAGATTTGCAAAAATGTAAACCCATGCTACTCTAGCAAACAGCAGTAGAAGTTTTGTTTTGCTTTGTTTTGTTTTTTTCAGCCGCGCCGTACGGCTTGTGGGATCTTAGTTCCCCAACGAGGGACTGAACCCAGGCCCTCGGCAGTAACAGTGCCGAGTCCTAACCACTGGACCACCAGGGAATTCTCAGCAGTAGTTTTGAAAATAGTTATTTTCACAAAAGTATGTTATTTATGTTAACATATAATGAGTTCATTGTTTCAAAATAAAATTAATAAAAATTTTTTAATTTCTCAGTTTTAACTTCTAACATAGTACACTCAGTAGATATAAAACCCATACAAACAAAACCTCTTTGGAATCCTCTTTTTAAGAGTGTAAAGTGTAAAGGGGTCTTGGGACCAAAATGTTTGAGAACTACTGCTAGAGAATATTCGTAGAAGACAGGTCAGTCTTGGATCAGAGGGACTAAAAGTCATCCAGCTAGTAACTGCTGAATTCCTAGACGCACTAGGAATGATGGCTACAAATAAGAAAACGAAAGGACCGTGCCCCCAAGGGGTTCATTCTAACTGAGCAGAGGTATGACAAGACAAAGCACAGGCAGGCAGAAAGCCACATGCGCGATGGGAGCACACCCTAGGTTTGAAGTTGAGCTCTGCCAGGCATCAGCTCATGACTGGATCCCCTGGAGCCTGGGTTCCTTCTCTACTGACTGAAGATCAGCACACACAGCTTAGGGCTCTGTCGTGAGGCTTAAATAAAAGGACAAATACGAGGGTGGGGCTAGGTTCCCTGCTGCCACCAACCCTCCTCCTTTCCCACCACTCTATCCCACACAACCAGAGCTTGGCTGGGGGTGAGCTCACCACCCACTGGAAGCACTGACCTCTGTCCACAGTGTGGACAAAGAATGCTGCCCGCCATACAGACGAACAAAGGATGTTGCAGCTATCAGCCACTGCAGCCTCCCCCAACAGTGCAGCTGAAGGGGTTCAAGACAGAAAAGAACAGGATACTTACTGGCCCTAGACAGTTAAGGTGTATATCAAAGGAATGATTTCAATGAGCCCAGACTCTGGTATCTTCCCATACATAGAAAAGCGCTAAAGTCATTAACTTGAGATGTTTGTTTTTTCTTTAATTAGCAGAAATCTTGATGTTCAACTACCTGGTTTGTGCAAAACTCCTATATATCCTGGCTCTTCCCTTATCTCTTTGGAGCAGTCCCTCAGAGTCATGTGAGAGACTGTCTATCGGGCTTAAGTCCTCAGTAAGTCCGCGGAATAAAAATTCTCGACTTTTAGGTTGTGCTTTTTTTTTTTTTTTTCAGTCGACAATAGTCATGACTGTAGACGCTTCACATCCTCCTACAAACTCTCCAAGGAAATACGTTTGATAGTGGCTACTTTTCTAATTGGTAGCAATAGAAAACAGGAGAATAAAAAAAGTGTATGTTCCAGAAGAAACAAAGGCCAATTCTTTAGATACAGAAGTAGAAGCTTATAAAGCATTAGAAAAGCCCTTGAAAGAAAATGTTACAAACAACAGTTGAGATTAGAAAGGGACAATGGGGAGTTCCTGGTGCCCTAGAGGTTAGGATTCCACACTTTCACTGCTGTGGCCTGGGTTCAGTCCCTGGTTGGGAAACTGAGATCCCACAAGCCAACCGGCACAGCAGACAAAAAATAAATAAATAAATAAAAATTTTAAAAAGGGACAATAACCAAAAATTCAAGTTGACCAACTTCTCCAAATATAAGACAACCAATATTTCTGAAAATAATTTTACCTGATCTAGATCCAGAGAAGAATAGACTATTTTCCCTTTGTCATCTCCAGAGAACAATTTCATTCCATTGGGGCTCCAAGCCAGAGCTGTTATGCTATTCTTGTGAATACCAGTGACGTCAAACCTCCGAAGCTATGAATAAACGATGAAAATACACACAAGAAAAAGACAAGGATAAACACTGTGAGATGTGAACAAGGTGGTACGCAATCCCTCCCGTTTATGGAAAAGCTGGTGTTCCCAAGTTGTTTCCATGCAAAAACCTGCACAAGGGTCCACCTTTAAAACTGACAGAGAAGAGCCAGAGAATATTAAGCAAAATTACCCATATATGCTCTTTGCCAAGTGTCCTACCAGGAACAAAAACGTCACCTGATTATAAAGAGCACAGAGCGAGGCTTTTCTGAGCAAGTGTTTTCTTGGCATGTGAGGACTCCTCATTTTAAAAGACATGAGGAATTTGCCAAGAAGTTAAGAAATGCTAAAATGATTAGTACTTACCTGTCTATTTCTTCCTGGCAACGAGGATACAAGTTGAAAGACTGCAACCCTCCCAGAGGCTGTGCCTGCAGCCACCAGGTCATCAAAGCAGCTCAGCAGTTTCACCACCGTGATGGATTCCGTTTTCCCCTGAAAGAGGAAACATTCAAAAACAAATGGGCCATAATTCAAAGAGTCATGTACCACAATGTTCACTGCAGCACTATTTGCAATAGCCAGGACATGGAAGCAACCTAAATGTCCATCAATAGATGAATGAATAAAGACGACGTGGCACGGGCTTCCCTGGTGGCGCAGTGGTTAAGAATCCGCCTGCCAGTGCAGGGGACACGGGTTCAAGCTCTGGTCCGGGAAGATCCCACATGCCGCAGAGCAACTAAGCCCATGCGCCACAACTACTGAGCCTGTGCTCTAGAGCTTGCGAGCCACAACTACTGAGCCCATATGCCACAACTACTGAAGCCCATGTGCCTAGAGCCCATGTTCCACAACAAGAGAAGCCACCACAATGAGAAGCCCGCGCACCGCAATGAAGAGCAACCCTTGCTCGCCACAACTAGAGAAAGCCAGAGCACAGCAAAGACCCAATGCAGCCAAAAATAAATAAATTAATTAAAAAAAGATGCAAACACGATGTGGCACGTATATACAATGGAATATTACTCAGCCATAAAAATAAATGAAATTGAGTTATCTGTAGTGAGGTAGATGAAACTTGAGTCTGTCATGCAGAGTGAAGTAAGTTAGAAAGAGAAAAACAAATACCGTATGCTAACACATATGTATGGAATCCAAAAAAAAAAAAAAAAAGGTTCTGAAGAACCTAGGGACAGGACAGGAATAAAGACGCAGACGTAGAGAATGGACTTGAGGACATGGGGAGGGGGAAGGGTAAGCTGGGACGAAGTGAGAGAGTGGCATGGACATATATACACTACCAAATGTAAAACAGATAGCTAGTGGGAAGCAGCCGCATAGCACAGGCAGATCAGCTCGGTGCCTTGTGTTCCCCTAGAGGCGTGGGATAGGGAGGGTGGGAGGGAGACGCAAGAGGGAGGGGATATGGGGATATATGTGTACACATAGCTGATTCACTTTGTTATACAGCAGAAACTAACACAAAGTTGTAAAGCAATTATACTCCAATAAAGATGTTAAAAACAAACAAACAAAAAAACAAAACAAATGGGCCTGTCACCAGGCCAGCTTTCAGACTATGAAACGTTACCTACCAATGGAATGGAAAACCTCATTGGACTGCAGCCTATATATATTCCTGATTGAAAATGTATACAATTCAGAAAGATAATTAATCTCTTTTTCTTTCTAGGTTTTTTATCTTTGAAATGACAATTGTTTTTGTGTTTTTTTCTGGCTGTGCCACACAGCATGTGGGATCTTAGTTCCCTGACCAGGATTTGAACCTGTATCCCCTGCACTGGAAGTGCAGAGTCTTAACCACTGGACCACCAAGGAAGTCCCTGAAATGACAAAATTTTAAAACTGCATTTCTGAGAAAGGAAATACTGTTCAATCAAGTATGACTACATTGAGCTCTTATCAAGAGAGTACTAAGGAACTTGGATAGGAGAGGTAGTTCCCCTCAAAACTGGAGTCTGGAGTCAGAAGAGCTATCCCAGACGCAAGCTCTCCTTTCTTCTCTCTCAACGTGGACAAGTCATCCACCGACTGTAGTCCATGGTGTGTACCTGCCACACAGGCTTGCTTGAGGATCAGTGAGACAATACATTTGGGAGTGCTTTATAAACTGATTCCTGGCGTGTTTTGGTTCTCATATCAATAATCACATTAAATAACACTAACTCAAGCTTGATACATTGGTTTATTAAAAAGCACATGTCAAGCACTGAGTACAGATATTCGGGCTTCCAGAGCATCTGAATGATCATTTTTCATTTTGAAACCACTCATTCAGAAAAATTACACAACCATTTCGACCTCGCTAAGACATATGGCAAGATCTTCCATAAGCCACTTTGATCCCTGATGCAGTAATTTAGATGGTAATCAATCTGTGCATTCAGGGGACTGAGTGGTAATACACAGTAGGGCGCAGGCCTGCCCGCTCACAGCTGAGCTGCAGCAATGAGACGTGCACATGAAGAGCTGCCCCCCACGAGTCGGGGTGGCAGCGACTGAGCTCACTTTCACCTGCCACTCTACAGCTTGCAGTGGATGTTCATGGGCTGTAACTACACTTGGTGCCACGTCGTGATACAGGGTAAGGGACCTGGATCTTAAGCTACAGGAAGGAAAAGGGGGACCCTTGAAGATGCCTGCTTTTGCAGGTGTATCAGTCAGAGGTGTTTCTGGTAACCCCATTAGGAACAGGATGGAAGGAGGAAGGCGTGGGACCAGGCAGGAGGACCAGCTGGGAGCCTCCTGCGATAGTTCAGGTGGAGGTAGTATGCGCCCGGTCAAGGGATGTGGCAAACTGAACAGGTGCAAGGGCAGTAAACCCTGAAGAGGAAAGAAGAGTATGAAGACCCGGTCAGAAGGAGGGCAGCAGTGATGACAGAGCACATCGACTCTCTCTGTAAGGGACGCTCTGCCAGTCGCGCGTGTCCTGTGCTGGGCACCCTGTTCAGCACTTCACAGGCATCATCTCCTGGGGTCCTCAAACCACCAAGAGGGCAGGTGCTGGAGTTATCCTCATTTTACAAAGGTGAAGTGGTTTGTCTCAGGTCACAAAGCTAGAGAGAATCAATAGTCAGGACTCACACCCAAGTGTGACCCTACAGAGGCCCTGCTCTGCCTCGCTGCCCTATGCCTTCTGAGCAGATCCATGGCCATGGAGATGGAAGGTGTGGTCGGCTGTGGGAAAGGAGGAGAATGAAAGGAGTGCAGGAATGTGAGTGATGGTTCCATCTCTGCTTTGAGGGAACAAAGTAACATAACATGCTTTAGATGTGTATCGTCTGACATGGCAACAGAATGTTAAAAAGAGAATATTTTTCCTGGGAATTTGTAATTATAAAAACTGCTACTACAACAGGAATCAAAATCACTTATTGGAGATCTTGCCACATCATAGCACAAAATCAAAACGGTTGTGTAATTTTCCTGAATGAATGGTTTCAAAATCATTGCTCAGATGGGCTGGAAGCCTGAATATCTATATGCAATGCTTGTACACGTGCTTTTTAATAAACCAATGTACTAAACTTGACTTAAGGTTATTTAATATGATTATTAAATAGATTTGGTTCTTGACTTAAGAACCAAAACATCCGAAGAATCAGATTATCAATATCTAACTATACTTCAGACAGAAACAAAATAAGAAGTTTCAACTTCTCACAGTATAACACTCTAGCTATTCTGAAAAACATTCCTCTCCAAACACCTAGAAATGTGGAATAAGATACATAAAACATTCTTTTAAACGCATAGCTGATCTCTAGAAAAGTAAAGAAAATCTACAAGAGCCGAAAACAAAAAGAATGCTGTCAAACTAGAACGGAAGCCAGCCCTGAAGCTACAGGCTACATAGGGCAATCTGGCCAACGCCTAGACCCTTGATTTTCTGAGGTGAGGACGGTTAATGAGGACAAGGCTTCAGGCCAGGTGACGTGGGGAGCTGGAACTGACATCCCCTGCTAAAGCCAGAATCCCTGAAGACCTAACTCTCAGTGAAAGTGTAAACTAGGGGAAAATCAATTTGCTGGGAAACGAAGCTGACAAGGACCTTTGTCTTATCTCAGGCATTGACTGGAGTGAATAAAAAAGATTCTGTAATCACAAAGCTGCCGTATCCAGCACCAGAGTTTGAATTTATTCTCCCTTCCCACTGAAAAGAACCTTCAGGCCAGGCACTTCACCTGACATGCTTCCGTGTTTGTAGCACTCCAAGGTGGCTGGCAGAGTGACCATCAACCCCATCTGTGGAACAGTCTCAACCCAGGCCCCTCAGCACTCCCACATATTAGGATCAGCCACATACCTCACAATTAGACATGACCACAGGGAGACAGGTCCCCTCAAGAAGAACCAACTAAAGAAAGCAATAACAGAATTGGACAACTCCTCATCCTGACTCAAGCATTTCATGTCGAGTGAGGAGACCCAGAACATAAAAGAAATATGCTTAAGGGGAGGGAAGGATTGGGAATTGGGGATTAACAGATACTACTATACATAAAATAAACAACAAAGACCTACTATATAGCACAGGGAACTATATTCAATATTGTAATAACCCATGATGGAAAAGAATGTGAAAAAGAATATATAACTGAATCACTTTGCTATACACCTGAAACATTATAAATCAACTATGCTTCAGTAATAAAAAAGAAATATGCTTAAAAATGTTAAAGAAATGTAAAAAGAAATTGAAACATAAGACCAAACTATTATCAGAAATAACAGAAATGAAAAAGAATCAAAAGAATATAAAATCTCAGGGGTAGACTAAATAGCAGCCTAGTCACAGATGAAAGAAAATTATTGAACTAGATGACAGATCTGTGCGGCAAAGGAAAGATAAAAAATATGACAGATGGGCTTCCCTGGTGGCGCAGTGGTTGAGAATCTGTCTGCTAATGCAGGGGACATGGGTTCGAGCCCCAGTCTGGGAAGATCCCATATGCCGCGGAGCAACTAGGCCCGTGAGCCACAACTACTGAGCCTGTGCGTCTGGAGCCTGTGCTCCGCAACAAGAGAGGCCGCCACAGTGAGGCCCGCGCACTGCAGTGAAAAGTGGCCCCCGCTTGCCACAACTAGAGAAAGCCCTCTCACAGAAACGAAGACCCAACACAGCAAAAATAAATTAATTAATTAATAAACTCCTACCCCCAACATGTAAAATAAAATAAAATTAAAATTAAAAAATAGAGGTGGAGTCTCTTTCCAAAAAAAAAAAGAAATTGTAAATGACTTCCACCCCTAATCTAAAATATATATATATATATATATATATATATATATATATATATGACAGATAAGTTAAAAGTCATAGAGAATAGAATATGAAGGTCCTACCTACATCTAATTGGGATTCCAGAAGGAAAGAAAACAGAGGATAGGAGAAGGAAACATCTTCAGAGATAAGGGCTAAAAATTATCCAAAACTGATGAAAGACCTATATCCTCAGGAGCACAAGCCTTGAACAAGACTCACGAAAAGAAATACACACATACACATTTTGTAGTGAAACAGTAAAACCTCAAAGGCAATAAGAAGATATTAATATGTCAGAGAAAAAAGGGAAATAACTAAATATGAACAATTATTAACAAAAGACATCTCAACAATGGATGTTGAGATGTATCATCCTCAAAGTGCTAAGAGGAAAAAACTGTTAGCCTTGAATAGTATACCTCTAAACAATTCAAAGACAGAGAGACATTCAGACAAACAAAAAAATCAAGAGTACTTACCACCAAAAGACTTCAACACAAGAACTACTAAAGGATGTACTCCAGGGCTTCCCTCGTGGCGCAGTGGTTAAGAATCCGCCTGCCAATGCAGGGGACACGGGTTCAAGCCCTGGTCCGGGAAGATCCCACATGTGGTGGAGCAGCTAATCCCATGCACCCCAACTACTGAGCCTGCGCTCTAGAGCCCGTGAGCCACAACTACTGAAGCCCGCACACCTAGAGCCCGTGCTCCGCAACCAGAGGAGCCACCACAATGAGAAGCCTGCACACCGCAATGAAGAGTAGCCCCCACTCACCGCAACTAGAGAAAGCCCACGCACAGCAACGAAGACCCAATGCAGCCAAAAATTTAAAAAATAAAGGATGTACTCCAGCAAGAAGGAGAATGGCTGCAAAGGGAAGAACTGAGATGTAACAAGGGATGGTGAGTAAAGACGTTGGCAAAAGTGTGAGGGAATCTAAACAGTGACTATAAAATATAATAATAATAATGTCCAACTTGAGTAGTTAAATATAGAATGAAAACACTAGATATGTGTATAATAAGAAAGGCCAGACAGAAACATCATAAGAAAGCTACAGACCAATATTCTTCCATGAATACAGACACAAAAAATCTGAACAAAATATTACTAAAAGGAATACAGCAAGATTAAAAAAAAAAAAAAAGGATAATATGGAATTCCCTGGTGGTCCAGTGGTTAGGACTTGGTGCTTTCACTGCCAGGGCCTGGGTTCAATCCCCGTTCAGGGAACTAAGATCCCACAAGCCATGCCACGAGGCCAAAAAGAAAAGGATAATATATCATGACAAAATGGGGTTTAAAAGATTAATGCACGGTTGGAATAATAACCAAAACTCAATTCATGTAACATAACACATAAATAAAGAAGGAAATAAAGAAGTAAATCATATCATCACAACAGATTCAAGTGAATATCTGACAAATTTCAATACTCATTCATGATAAAAACTCTCAGAAAACTAGGATAGAAATAAACAGAAATAAAAAGCGTCCATGAGGAATCGATAGCTAATGTGGTCTTATCCATACAATGGAATAGCATTCAGCAATAAAAAGGAATGAAGAGGGCTTCCCTGGTGGCGCAGTGGTTGAGTCCGCCGGCCGATGCAGGGGACATGGGTTCGTGCCCCGGTCCAGGAAGATCCCACATGCCGCGGAGCGGCTGGGCCCGTGAGCCATGGCCACTGAGCCTGTGCGTCCGGAGCCTGTGCTCCACAAAGGGAGAGGCCACAGCAGTGAGAGGCCCGCGTACGGCAAAAAAAAAAATGGTCATAAAGTATTGTTTGGGAAGGGCACTCAGGCCATATTCTAGCAAATCAGAAGTAAATTACCCCATCCTGGAACTCACAAGCATGTTAAACATTAGCCAGGGCTCACACATGCTCAGGTGAGGACAAGCAAGACTCACCTCGAAGTTGTACTTCTTCATCTGGTTCAAGTGCCGGCAGTACAGGTAGAGCATGCCAATGCTGCTGCCCACGGCAATGTAGTCCCCGTTGGCGTCCAGGGCCGTGAGGTAGACCACTATGGAGCGGAACCCCTTCTGGATCTTTGTGGGAATGGCATTGAGGAGATAGTACAAAGGGCAGAACTCTCTGAATGTAACAGACTCTGATACGGATGCCATGGCCAACGTTTCCACAGATGATCTTCAAGCAGGACAGGAATTTTAACGGGCATCTAGGGAAACCTGGGGGCTGAAGAACAAGGCATCATAATGCTTTCAACATCTAGTCATGCAAAGATAAGTCAGGTATAATAGTGGGAACGAGGAACTTTCAGGTGGGTATGAATTATAGTCAGAGCTGAATTAAACAGAGAAAGTAACCAAGTGCCATTAAGATCACTTTTGAGCATTTTAATTCAAAACTCACTTCAATATGTGCTGGCCCCTGTAATTTATATTGTGATAAATGCTATGGAGGGAAAGGGGTGGAAAAAATATTAAAAACAGTTCTTAATCTCAAGTAGCTTATGATCTAGTTAGGGAGGCAAAAGAAACTGTAAAGAGACATAAAACCAGATGTGATTAGGTGCTAATCTGTGGGTCTCTATCAGAAGAGGGAGAGAGCAGTGTGGACTAGAGAGTGGAGAAAGCTTCACTGGAAACATCCAAAATTCTGAAGCCCACCAGGAAGGACAGAATGGGGGGAAGAGGAATTCCCTGGCAGTCCGCCCTTCCACTGCACGGTGCACGGATTTGATCCCTGGTCAGGGAACTATGATCCCGCAAGCTGCATGGCGAAAAAAAAAAGTGTGTGGAAAAGAAACAGTAAAGACACTGTACTAGAAGAACAGTGGACCAATCCAGACGTAGGAATAAGCTCACTGTGTCGAGGTGGTGGAGAAACGTGTCCCCCGGCTGGATAGCCACAGCCTCCACAGAACTCAGAACACCAGCTACACAACACCTCCTATCTGTTCTGCACTGACACCCACACCTCTTGAAAATTTGGATTCAAAGCTTCCCTCAATAAAGGGAAGCATGTTATATATCATCACACAGCGTGTTATACTTTATGAAGTGTTCATTCACCCATTTAATCCTTACCCTACAGACTTTTACATGGGTTTGGAAGTCCCAGCCACAGCAATCAGAGAAGAAAAAGGAATACAAATCGGAAAAGAAGTAAAACTGTCACTGTCTGCAGATGACATGAGACTATACATAGAAAATCCTAAAGATGACACCAGAAAACTACTAGAACTAATCAATGAATTTGGTAAGGTTGCAGGATACAAAATTAATGCTCAGAAATCTCTTTCATTCCTATGCACTAACAATGAAAGATCAGAAAGAGAAATTGAGGGAAGAATCCCATTTACCATCGCAACAAAAAGAATAATATACCTGGGAATAAACCTACCTAAGGAGACAAAAGACCTGTACTCAGAAAACTATAAAACACTGATGAAAGAAATCAAAGATGACGTAAACAGATGGAGAAATACACCATGTTCTTGGATTGGAAGAATCAATATTGTGATAACGACTATACTACCCAAAGCAATCTACAGATTCAGTGCAATCCCTATCAAATTACCAATGGCATTCTTCACAGAATTAGAACAAAAAATTTTACAATTTGTACGGAAACAAAAAAGACCCCGAATAGCAAAGCAATCTTTTTTTTTTTAAATAAATTTATTTATTATTTTATTTTTGGTTGTGTTGGGTCTTTGTTGCTGCACGTGGGCTTTCTCTAGTTGGGGCGAGTGGGGGCTACTCTACATGGTGGTGTGCGGGCTCCTCATTGCTGTGGCTTCTCTCTTTGTGGAGCACGGACTCTAGGTGCTGGGGTTTCAGTAGTTGTGGTACGCGGGCTTCAATAGTTGTGGCTCATTGGCCCTAGAGCACAGGCTCAGTAGTTGTGGCGCACGGGCTTAGTTGCTCCGTGGCATGTGGGGTCTTCCCAGACCAGGGCTCGAACCCATGTCCCCTGCACTGGCAGGCGGATTCCCAACCACTGTGCCACCAGGGAAGTCCCAGCAAAGCAATCTTGAGAAAGAAAAGCAGAGCTGGAGGAATCAGGCTCTCCAACTTCAAACTATACTACAAAGCTACAGTAATCAGGACAAGTATGGTACTGGCACAAAAACAGAAATATAGATCAATGGTACAGGATAGAAAGCCCAGAGATAAACCCACGCACATATGGTCACCTAATTTAGGACAAAGGAGGCAAGAACATACAGTGGAGAAAAGACAGCCTCTTCAATAAGTGGTGCTGGGAAAACTGCATAGCTACATGTAAAAGAATGAAATTGGAACACTACCTAACAGCATACACAAAAATAAACTCCAAATGGATTAAAGACCTAAATGTAAGACCAGACACTATAAAACTCTTAGAGGAAAACATAGGAAAAACACACTTTGACATAAACCACAGCAAGATCTTTTTTGACCCACCTCCTAGAGTAAAGGAAATAAAAACAAAAATAAACAAATGAAATGGGACTTAATTAAATTTAAAAGCTTTTGCCCAGCAAAGGAAACCATAAACAAGACGAAAAGAAAACCCTCCGAGTGGGAGAAAATATTTGCAAACAAAGGAACAGACAAAAGATTAATCTCCAAAATAGACAAACAGCTCAGGGAGCTCAATATCAAAAAAACAAACAACCCAATTGAAAAATGGGCAGAACTAAACAGACATCTCTCCAAGGAGGACATACAGATGGCCAAGGGGCACATGTAAGGATGCTCAACGTCACTAATTATTAGTGAAATGCAAATCAAAACTACAACGAGGGGACTTCCCTGGTGATACAGTGGCTAAGAATCCACCTGCCAATGCAGGGGACACAGGCTCGATCCCTGGTCCTGGAAGATCCCACATGCCACGGAGCAACTAAGCCCATGTACTTAGTTGAGCACTGCACTCTAGAGCCCACATGCCACAACTACTGAAGCCTGCACGCCCTAGAGCCCACGCACTGCAACTACTGAGCCGGTGTGCCTTGAGCCCGTGCTCCACAGCAAGAGAAACCACTGCAATGAGAAGCCCGCGCACCGCAACAAAGAGTAGCCCCCGCTCGGCAACTAGAGAAAGCCTGCACGCAGCAACGAAGACCCAACTCAGCCAAAAAAAACCCAACCAAACAAAAAACAACTACAATGAGGTATCACCTCACACCGGTCAGAATGGCCGTCATCAAAAAATCTACTGGGCTTCCCTAGTGGCACAGTGGTTAAGAGTCTGCCTGCCAATGCAGGGGACACGGGTTCGATCCTTGGTCCAGGAAGATCTCACATGCTGCAGAGCAACTAAGCCCATGCGCCACAACTACTGAGCCTGCGCTCTAGAGCCTGCAAGCCACAACTACTGAAGCCCGCGCACCTAGAGCCCGTGCTCCACAAGAGAAGCCACCACAATGAGAAGCCCGCGCACCGCAACGAAGAGCAGCCCCGCTCGCCGCAAACAGAGAGAGCCCGTGGGCAGCAGCAAAGACCCAACTCAGCCAAAAATAAATAAATAAAATAAATAAATTTATTTTTAAAAAGTCTACAAACAATAAATGCTGGAGAGGGTGTGGAGCAAAGGGAACCCTCTTGCACTGTTGGCGGGAATGTAAATTGATAGAGCCACTGTGGAGAACAGTATGGAGATTCCCTAAAAAGCTAGAAATAGAATTACCATATGACCCAGCAATCCCACTACTGAGCATATACCCTGAGAAAACCATAACTCAAAAGGACACACGTACCCCAGCTGGTTCATTGCAGCACTGTTTACAATAGCCAGGATATGGAAACAACCTAAATGTCCAAAGACAGATAAATGCATAAAGAAGATGTGGTACATACATACAATGGAATATCACTCAGCCATAAAAAGGAATGAAGTTGGGTCATTTGTAGAGATGTGGGTGGACCTAGAGTCTGTTATACAGAGTGAAGTAAGCCAGAAAGAGAAAAACAAATATTGTTTATTAACGCATATACGTGGAATCTAGAAAAATGGTACAGATGAACCTATTTGCAGGGCAGGAACAGAGACGTAGACATAGAGAATGGACATGTGGACACAGGAGGGGAAGGGGTGGGTGGGACGAACTGGGAGGTGAGAATTGACATAAATACACTAACAAGCATAAAACAGATAGCTAGTGGGAACTTGCTATAAAGCACAGGAAGCTCAGCTCGGTGCTCTGTGATGACCTAGATGGGTGGGAGGGAGGTCCAAGAGGGAGGGGATATATGTATACATACAGCTGATTCACTTCATTGTACAGCAGAAACTAACACAACGTTGTAAAGCAATTATATTCTAATAAAAAAAAAACTTTTACATAAGCTACTGAGGGCCAGAGGGTCACAAGACTTGCTCAAGACCACACGGGCAAGACCTGAATCTAGGCCGTTGCCCTTCAAGTCCTCAGCCCTTTCCAAAGGACTCTCTATCACATCCCCACCCCCTGCTTCTCTTTCTCCACGCATCCTCTTCCTCTCCTGTTGATGGCCATCTCTGCCTGGTCCCCTCCACCACGGTCTGTATGCCCAAGAGCAGAGGCCACATCCACCTCACTTACCTGTCTAGCCCCTGGAACCTAGAAAAGGGTCAGGCACATCGGAGGCACTAAGTATTAATTAATTAGTTTTTTTATAAATTTATTTATTTTATTTATTTATGTATTTTCAGCTGCATTGGGACTTCGTTGCTGTGCACGGTCTTTCTCTAACTGCGGCGAGCGGGGGCTACTCTTCATTGCAGCTTCTTCATTGCGGGCTTCTCACTGAGGTGGCTTCTTTTGTTGTGGAGCACGGCTCTAGGTGTGTGGGCTTCAGTAGTTGCAATGTGCGGGCTCAGTAGTTGTTGCTCGCGGGTTCTAGAGCACAGGCTCAGCAATTGTGGCGCATGGGATGGGCCTAGTTGCTCCGCAGCATGTGGAATCCTCCCGGACCAGGGCTCAAACCCGTGTCCCCTACATTGGCAGGCGGACTCTCAACCACTGCGCCACCAGGGAAGTCCCACACTAAGTATTTATTGAATAAATGAATGAGTTATAAAAAAAGGAAAATCTGCAAGGAAGGAGTGAGTTCAAGAATGGAAAAGAAACAAAATTTCTTCTTTTCTCCAATATGGCCCCAGTTCAACGCTGGAATAAAAATCCTCTAGATCATTTTCAGACTCCTATTTCATTTGACAGTCATGATAGACAAAACATCCAGTGAAGCAGGCAGGGTAACTTA